ATTAAAGGTTTAAAGTCTTCATGATGAAGAGACCACAGAACCTGTCTTGCCAGACAGTCCTTTTCCTGGAAAAGCCATGAGACAACATGTGGCCTCATCCAGCAGATGTGACAACCAACTCTGGGAACACCCAAGAGACCTTGAGTGACAAGCCAATTAATGGTTCATAGTGGATCATGTGCATGACCAGAAATTGCCTAAAAGGAAAAACGGCCTTATGTAAACCATACTGGAATGGAAAGTTAAAGACAGCTGAGGAAGACTAGATAGGGATAAAAATGGGAAAGAAATATTGATAGATGAACAAAAACAGCATTCTCAAAGTGAACAACCAGGATGACAAACAGCACTTCAGTGATCCAATGCAGCCAACCGTCACCAGGATGACTGAAACAGCATTTCAGTGATCCAATGCAGCCAACCGTCACCAGGATGACTGAAACAGCATTTCAGTGATCCAATGCAGCCAACCATCACCGGGATAAAAGAAACAGCATTTCAGTGATCCAATGCAGCCGACATTCACTGTAGAGACGACTCCTGATTGATTTCAATTTCAATATGCCCTAATGACGCTTTACACATACAGGAAGACACCTTATTTTGCTATAAAAATAAAAGCCAACATGCCCTTAAAAAGACATGCTTAACAAAATAATAACCAGCATTTATATATTATCTCAACAACTAAAAATATTTTTTAAAATCACAAAAATCATGTGAATGTTAGATTCATTTATATCAGAATAAAATGGAAAACAATATTACACTGCATCCCTCTCCAGGGGTGCCAATACAAAGAAAGCATGGAAAAGTGGGGCTTTTTGGCTAACTTACACATATTATCTGGGTGGTGGAGAGAGGGGATGGGTTCTCTGCCTAGTTAAATGTATAATAATAATAATGCGCATAGTGGCAACATTTATTTTTACTATGGTGTGCATAAACATAAACTTTACCAACTTATATATATGTCCATGGGGTGGGGGTGTTAGCATAGTCTCTTTATCGATTTCAGCTCAGATACCTAACCCTTCAGCAATGTAGAGACTAAACAGGATAAAGAACCTACAGTATGGCACCTGCAGATGAATTAGAGCAACCATTCTGAGATGATGCATCTTCCCCGTGGCAATTCATGGATGTGAGTCATGGACTTTGAATCAGTGAAGAAAGAACTGTGAGCCTTTGAAGTGAAATGCTCCAGAACAATTCTTACAAGACCATGGGCCAAGACAAACACAAACATCCTACATGACTGAACAATGAGGAGAACTGGCTCAAATAGTATCCTGTCTTGAAAGCCGAGGTACTGCAGCCAGGTTAAATGTCATGGTTGCTAGGAGAGAACGGTGATGGAAGATATGATTTTGGGAAGAAAGAAGCTGCTGCAGACCTTGCAAAGGTGGATACAGAGCACAAAAGATGCATTGGCTACGAAAGTAGATAAGGCTGGGGGATAATCTCAAACAATATCCTGTCTATTCTGTCTGGAAATTCGAGGCACTATGGCCGGGTTACATGACATGGTGGCTAGGAGAGAAAACGGTGAGGGAGGGTAAGGTTTTGGGAAGAGGGAAGCAGAGGCAGAGCTAGCGAATGTGGACACAGGGCACTGAAGATGTACTGGTTTCGTAAGCAGGAAGGGCTGGAACATTTTCTACATCACATGCTGTGAGAAGAAAGGACCTGCTGATTAATTAGATTTGCTTTTTCTAGTCTGATAGTAGTTTCTCACTTGGTCTCAGTTTGTTCAGTTGTCGACCTTTTACCTAGAGCACGGTTTTGAACAAATCTAGTGTGTTGATGCACCAAAATATTTCATTGGTATCCACAACATGTACATACCACAACATAACCACTGACTCGTTAGGGTCGTGGAGGTGTACTGATAGGGGCATAAGATAAATAATAAAAAACTGCCACCTTTCTGTGTTCAGCTGGTTGAACAACTCTATAATAATTTAGTCCTGTTCATTTGTGTATGCTGTCATTCCTAATGACACCCCCCCCCCCCCCCCCCATGTTCCTTCACATATATTGTGCCCCACCCCCCAAACGTTTGCTGCCTAATGAAAAATGAGAATTTCACTGAAATATTTCAGTTTCATTCTTGCATCTCATCCTCTAACCCAGAACAAAAGAGTATCAAGGTAAAAGCATCCAGTGTTACCCTTTCTCAGAAACACATTCAAAATACGACAGACCATCTTCTACAGCATCCAGTGTTACCCTTTCTCAGAAACACATTCAAAATACAACAGACCATCTTCTACACTTTAAATCAGTTGATTTTCTATTTCTATGCCTTCATCTTTTTCCTCTGTCTTCAGTTGTTCCCTGAAAGGTCATCTGTATCGGGGTGACATGTTTGATTTGGATCAGTTATTAAAAAGAGCACAAAGTTGGAAAAAAAATTGTTATATACATTTAGGAGCATATTATTCAAATAAAATAAATCTATCATACAAACTAGAAATGTAAAGTAAGATGGTTAAATAGAAACAGATGTAAACAGTCAATGATGTTGTCTCAATAATTCTTTGTCTTCCTTGTTTTCTACCAGTCTATGTCATTATGTCTGAGCTCAGCTTCCTGTCTCTCCACTTCATTATCTTATATACAAATGTTGCACAAGGCCTTTTCCCTAGGTCTGCCCCTTTCTCTCTTTTCCTCCAAATTTCCCATTATCATAAATTATTTATTCTAGTTTCCTTTTCTCGTAAATTCAAACAAATTTTGATTGATATATAACAGGAAAACCTATATGAGTATTTCTATAAAGATCTGTGTTAATCTGAATCAATTTCTCTTTGACAGCTTTTTTTTTAAAGAAACGTCATCCTTCAGGGACCAAATGTTACTTCAAAAAAAAAAAAAAAAAAATACAAACATGCACACACTGCACTCCATACCATACACAACAGATACAACATGTTTACCATGTATGAGGTCATCTCAGGCAAGATGCTTCACTAAGTTAGTTAATCTTAAATAATACACAGGGGTAGGAGAAAAAAACATAGGAGGATAATGATGGGGAGGAAGAGAGAAAGGGACTAGGGGAGGGAGAGGACGGACGGACTAGGGAAGGAAGAGAGGGAGGGACTAAGGGAGGGAGGATTAGAGGGAGGGACTGGAGGAGGGAGGGAGAGGACGGACTAAGGGAGAGAGGGAGGGGCTACAGGAGGGACAGACTAAGGGAGGGAGAGAGGGAGGGAGAGACATTATGTGTATCAACGGTATTAGATCATACTTTCCCAACATTAAGAGAGAATTTTTTTATTTTTTTTTAAAGTTCAGATATACTATTAACTATTGTGTATGGCAACAACTTTACCCTGTCAAATGCACCCAATTAGTCCTAGGGAAATGTTTTCATTAAGTCAGTTACTGTTGAAGGAGATAGACAGAAGCTTACATGTATTACATGGTATCAGATTTTTTTCCCCCCAACATGAAAGGAAAAAAAGGTTCAGATGTACCATCACAATGTGTGCTCCATCAAAGGAACTCACTGTGGCCATTCTCCTGAATAAACCTGCAAACCACCAAAGATATACTTAAAATGGCCATAAAGCATATTAAAATCCACTGCAGGACTCTGAAACCTGACACTGCTTCAACATGGTTGAGACGATCTCAGCAACACAAAAACAGCTGGTGAACATTCCTGAGGAAAATCCTCCTCAGAAATCTCAGTGTACTCCCTTAAGTCTGTCTTGTCCCCTGAATGCTTTTCACAGATGGGAAAGATGTCCAGCTTGATTTACAACTTGCTTCCAGTGTCCTGAGAAACAAAGGATTTACTTATGTCACTACTTTGCATATGAACACAGAAAATTGAACACTGAACTGGCTCGCCTTTCAGAACTGTATGCTGTTTTTAGGCTATGCAGAAAATAATTGTCCCCACAGTAAAAAAAAAAAGTGCCCCTATACAACGAGCCAGGAAAAAAAAAAATAGTGCAGGGAAACCATGAGCTCTAGAAAAAATGACTGCATCAACCAGAATCAGAAGTAGCACGAGTCAGCTTAACAATAAAACACAACCACGAATGAGAAACACTGTGGCCGGATAGCTTTAGCATACAATAACAAACTGCTTATATGCACTGCATTTTAATCAGATTTTATTTCCCCATCATACTACAGCAGACTCTGCAAGGTTTGGCCTAATTTGGTGAAAGGGTAGGTTGACAACAACAAAGTCAGTAATGCCAGAATTATATCAATACTCAGTTTCTACCCCACCCATAATAAAGCTGTCTATAGCAAACCTGCTCATGTTTACAATTTCTCTTCTTCTTTTTTGCATTCACTGGCTGTGAATTCCGGCGAAAAGTCGTCGTTCCTCCTACTAGACTTTGGCTTTTAGCAGGACCTGAGTGTTGCATGTACATCCGTTGTGCTGGCTTATTCGTGAGCCGTTCTTGTTCCCTGTCTCTTGGGCTGATGTACTCCGACTTCGAGGGAATTCACAATTTCTGGCCTCTTAGTACAGGTCCAGTACCTTATGGATGTTTCTTATGTATTGTACTATAGGTTTTAAACATTTATTCCAGAAGAAATGTTTTTCTAATTATAGATATTTATCAATATATCTTTTCAATATATGTCATAATTGTAACAAACTCTGAAAGCATGCTGAGAAAGGTGAAGACAGGGATTCTTCAAGCAGAGTGGCAGGCTTCACTGGGAAGGTCACGGGTAGTGAGCCTACTTTGGACCTTTTCTCGAGGCCATGACGGGGTTGTGGGTAATGAACCAGCAGACAGACAGGCTGGATCTGCACCACTAAATACCCCAAGGATAACTATTAAAAGGTAACTTTCCGGAAACCATGTTCCACCATATAGCCATAAAAGCAGTTATGCTGGGGCACCACAAAACAGGAAGTAAGCTGAAGTCCAGGGTGGGTGGGTTCTGGCTGTAGTATGCTAATTGTAGATATTCTTTGACATCTTTCCTAAAAGAACAAACACTAGTTACCTCATTATTCAAACTCCAAAGTTAGCAGTCAGCCGTTCCTTCAGTGGCTGTGGAAACTGATCTGAGAATTTGGACCAGTTGTCATCACCCACCTGAGCTCTGAAGCCATGAAGTATCTGCAGACACAACAGTCACAAAGTTACAGCTGACAGGACTAATTTCATTGCACTGGGTTTTATTTCATTTGCCTGGGTCTCTCTTTGCAGAGCGGCTAGCCGTCTGCCGAGAGTTTTGCTCAAAGCATGAACTCCACAGCTTCAGCGATGATCCCACCGATCTCTATAAAAACTGCACTCGTAAAGTGAAATGACCTCATGACCTTCAGAGTGCAAGGCAGACGGTTTCACCACAGCACAAAGAACATTAGTTAGTTAGTTAGTTGGGTTATCATCATTGCACTCCGGACATGTCCATAGGTGCTCAGATCCTCCCCTCAGTATGAATCCCAACGTCCGATGGCTAATAGTACCAGTTCTATGTTGATTAACAAATCTTCTGACGTGTCCGGTGTGAAAAAAAAAAAAAAAAAAGAACATTACTGATAGATAATGGCAAACAATAGGAAAGTAGTAGACATTTATAACATAACTGGAATGTCCTTGCAATGGGACTCACAGGGCCACAACAATGGGCAGATAAGACAGACAAAACACAGAGAAGAGGATCACAGACCAGTGTAACAAAAAGAGGAAGAAAATAGGATAAGCTGTGTGCAATTACACAGAATGCAATAACATAAAAAGGCATGACATGGTATATACTGGTTTGAAAGGATATGGGGTGAGCTAGCTATATATCTTTGTGTGTGTATATGTAATTGCAAGGACTGCTGAAAGAAAGGAGCTAAAATAATGTGTCATGTTGTGTACCTGCAACAGCTTGGCACCAGAATATGTGGCTAACAGGGAAGCAATCTGGCTGTTTCATCCTCAATGAAGACAAAGCTATTTGGTACATAGGGAGTTATGGACCGCAAAATAGCTTAAACCAAGCCTACCAGCCTCCTGGTATAAATTTTCTGACAGACGGGTCGAAGAAGAAGATATAAAGTGAGATAAATGTTTACGAGTCTTATTTTCTGAACAGGGTGTGACATTTTTTATCCCGGGGTCATATGCATATTTATAACATCATCAACCAATTAAGCTGTTATTTGGTCTTACATTTAGTGCACACATGCCTTATATGATGACTGGAAGTGCTTCTGTTTAGTTGAGGGGTGTGATGCTGGATGCTATTGACATCGCTACATGTAACTGCTTTACCAGGTCTGCAGCGGCCAATTTAGAGCAGTGGTTCTCAACCTACCTAACCCTTTAATACAGTTCTTCCTACTGTAGCGACCATCAAACATACAATCTTTTTTGTTGCTACTTCATAACTTCAATGAATGTGTTTTTTGATGGTCTTTGGCGAACCCTGTGAACAGGTCGTTAGACCCACACACAAAAAGGGCCACGACCCACAGGTTGAGAAACGGTGATTAAGAGGAACAAACAAAATAATTTTGCAGGTCTTTCGAGGCATAAGGCTTAGACATTCGCCACCCCTGCCTTAGAAGTTATGTATAGCTTATAGAGGTATCACTGATTATGTGCATGAATGATTCACTGAGTGCTAAGTAGGCCAAACCATGTTCGCCAGATCATAGGCAACACTAATGGTTCAACAGACAGCAAGGCATGTTATCATAAAGATCAATTATTACTGTAATATTTAATACTAAAGTCTTTCCTCTTCTACCCTTGCAGTTTTGATAGCTAACAATAGTGCTTTTACAATCACAGGGTTTTACAGAGGTGGATTATTTTACAGACTGCTACATAGCCAAAAGTCTATACATGTTTGATCATGCCATATACAAGTGGTACACTCAACAACAAAGCAAGTTGCACTCAAGAATAAAAAATAGTTTGTTGTGTGTCCATTACAAGATGAAGAACCAACTCCAGCATTTTTGGCTGTATGTGATTTCACAAGACAATTTTACGCTGAGTAATTTGACAATGCCTTCCTAAGTGGTAGGCTCTTGATACACAGGCCAAAACCAACGCTGCCAAATCATACAACCTGGGATCGAACCTGGAATTACAAAGTGTGTTCGCAATGCCTAGGCCACAGACATCCAATTCATGAATATTAACATCATACCATAATATCAAATGGTGTTTCTGTAAAGCATACTGTGAAGTCATATTGCAATAGATAAACATCTAAACATCAAGTGAGTGCATCAATTTTTAACACAAGGCAACACAGAATAACAGGTGCAGCTTTAGGAAAGAACCAAATTTCAGTGAAGAGGTACAGAAAAGCTGGTGGAGGATAGGACACATAACTGACAAAAACCTGAGAAGATTTTAACTAGAATTTCCTTGCTCTAGGAATAATGGCTGACCCAAAAAAAACATGAAAGTAATTAGACAAAAGTGAAATAAATGGGGAGGAAATTGAGCTGCACAAAATAGCAACAGATGGGATGACTGCATCATTGGTTGAGGACCTATGCTCTACTGGGAGGAAAAGAAGAAGTTGATAAAGGCGGGAGCAGGAGAAGGGGGAAAAGAAAAGAAGGCAACAAAAATAAGTTAGAGACACACACACACACAAAAACATGAAAAACCAATATAATTTCACAGGTGATCTAATTATAATTAACAATTTTTGTTTAATGCTCAAACTGTATTACTGGAACCCTAAGGAAAAACCACAATTTAACCAAGCATGCCACAAAAGGCAAACTAGGGTAAAGCCAGATTTTCCCACTGCATTCCATTTTTAAAAAAAGTCACACCCTAACCAAGCATGCCATAAGAAGAAACCAATGGTAAAGCTGGGCTTGCTTATACTGCATTTAATAAAAAGCTAAACAAAAAATAGAACAGTTGATAAAAGCTATTACTTTATAAAACATTTCCTTCAGGTCTGGCTTGGGGTGCGTCCAGGATGCCACAGCATCGCAGAAGAAGATGAAATCCTGCACCACTCCAGCTGGGTTGATTCCTATCATCAAGCAAACACCGCGAAACGCAGAGTCTTTCTCCTCATTGTCTCTGATGTTGCGCAACGATGTGCACCTGGAACAGGTTATATGATACGGTGAAGACTCCAAAAATTAGCATTGATGCTTGCTATTTAAATAACCAAACATACTCACACATTACATACAGCACATATTCACAAATAATCAGCAACAATATAACAATAGAGCAGTCTGATCTACATGGCTACACACTTCCTGCAGTCACCATACTCACAACTATGAACTTACCTCTCCAGTAGGCCAACATAAAGTGTTAACATATATAAATTTTTTAAAGTTGCAAATAGAATAAAAATTAGTAGGGTTATTAAACAATCATCTCTTGAAACAAACTAAACCAAACAACATAGTTCTAATGTTTTCCCATAGTGAATTTAAATAAGGAGGATACAAACAAAATATACACAGCACAATGTACTACTGTCTGGCATTTATGGCCGCAACTCAACAGAAGCATTAATGTAGAATTTACACCAACATATACGGATGCCATAATCTTTGATTCATCCCACAATGATTTGTTGTACCGGAACTGGACGGAAACAGTAGCAATTAATATAGGTAATTCAGTGTTATGTAAACAAAAAGATTACAGCATATTTCAGTGGTGAGTACTATTTAACAAGAGACTGTGATTTTTATTCATAATTAAAAAAAAATACAAATTCTTTTTCTTTATCTTTCTGTGTGGGTTCTGGTGCCCACTTCTGTGGGGCGGGGTGAGGGGGAGCATCGGTGTCTCCTAATAACCATATGGTACAATGTGACTAATCAGGGGTACTTCTTTCGAAGTCAGAGTGCATCTGTCGGGAATGTAAGAAACCAACAGTCTGCATACAAATCTGTCAAATGAATGCACTCAAAACTAAAGTTCTGACAAAAGACCAAAGTCCAGAAGTGGACTTTCTGAGTTTACAGCAGGTGAACGTAAAGAAAAAGAAGAATAAATATACTGATGTAAATTCTGTAGAAATTCAAATTATAGCAAAATATTCCAGGCAATTTCGTGCAATATACTGTTCGTGCCCCCATTATTTAAAATAATTATAATAACCTAACACATAATGTAACAACTAGTAAGGATTAGCAATAAAATGTGACAACGCGCCAAGTTGAACTGAAAATATAAAAATAAAAACTTTACCATTGCCTGATAAACTGTTGTAAAAGTGGGGCCACATCCTGAGGGCAAACTAAGCCCAGTCTTCCAATAGTTATGGCTATGTAACCACGACGACGACACGATGACACACAATGCACATGGACGGCAAATATAAATGGGAAGAAAGAACATACGATAAACAATACATACATACATAAAAACAATACTTGTAAAACAATTGTTAAAACAGCTCAAACACTGTGGATAAAGCTGGAAAAGAAAGGTTACATTACATTTTGCACAGACATTTTTAGCAACGTCGCAATCAACATGGACCTTACAGAGAAACAGACTTGTAGGTCACTGGTGCATTACAGAAAGCACCAAAAACATTTCCTAGCTTTACAATTCATACCAACATATTTAGAATTTCAGTCTATATGTGTTTGTAATGGACACCTTTTTTTACAAAATATGATTATCTTTATTAGTGGTCCTGTTCCCTTTTTTCATAAAAGGACAATCTCCTCATAAACAAACTCCGCAGCACCAGCAAGGATCCTAAGTTACATATATGAGAATCTAATATAGCATTATTTTAATATTCTATATTTTTGCTGCTGTTGTTTTGTTAACATATTTTTTTTTAATTTGCTCTTTCTTAACAAAGCAATTGGTGAGATCTTTCTTCTTGTTCGCTCATCCAAGGATGTCATTTTTTTTTGTTGCGCCTGTTCACAGCATGACGGAGCATTTCTGCTATTACTTCTGCCTTCTCAGGCATTTGTGGGCCCAGTTAGACCTCCCAGGATCCTGGTGAAGATGATAATTTTTGGTCTGGCCAGTATATCTTTGGTCTCGATCCAGGTTTGTTTAAAAAAAAAAGGTCACCAGACAATTTTTAGGACTTTCTGAAGTGTCTATAAAAGAATAATAAATATTGTATACCCTAAAAGCAGTGTCAGAGAGGGAACAGCCTTTTTTTCCCCCCAATATGAGACCCTTTGCTGCAAAGTGGCTGACTTAGTTATTCTGCTTTTTTTTCCTCATTACCAATTGCATAGGAATGTTTAACGCATGACATTCCAAGCTTTAGCCCTTGTCCAAAAAGGTTATACACCTAATCTGCAATCCTAGGATCATCATCATTATGTAGCCAGTCTTCACAGAAGGTTATTTCAATCACAGTTCGCCTGAAGAAACTTGGTCTCTCATAAACTCTACCATGCCCTTTCCTTCACAAGCTGTGGCATATGTTCTTACAGATAATTTATAACTTTTTTCTTAATACTGTGAGCAACTCTTGGTCATCTGCCAAAACTTCACAAAACATTTCTGTCAAGACTTCATTCATTAAACATAGCTGTCAAGATTTCGCAAAACATTGCCAAAATATACTTTCTTACCAGGCAGCTTCTATAAAAAAACATGCAATAACAACATATAAAACTTACATTTAAACATAACATGTTACAATAATAAATAAATATAAGACAAATGACAGCCAACAGACAAACTAATGAAGATAACATTACATGAAAACTGGACAACAACCCAGCTGAAAACAGGGCAAGCAGAAAAGGTGGATCTCAAGACGACAGTACAGGTATCAAATCAACCCATAACCCAGTCAAGGATCACTGAGGTACCATCACGGAGACATCAACAGGCAGTGTAAGCTAACCATCACAGCACTTTCACGGGGGTTAGAGGTCCAACTGGCAATAACCATTTTTTTCCCCCCAGGTATTCTATAAATATTCTGTTGTGTGGGCTTTCTTATTCAGTTTGGGCAGTGCCCTTGTTAGTCTATGCTGTGACTGCAACACTACAGAAATAAAACACTGAACTTGTGATGCTTCTTGGCTGTAAACTGCTAAGTAATGTCTGAATTAAAAGATGTTTACATATTAGGAGATGCAGTATCTACAGGTCTGTCCTCAGTGTTATGACTATGACACCTAAAACCAACTGAATAGGGTATAACTAACTGTGCTTTCAGAATGAACCTAGGTCAATTCGAAAGATATCAAAGATTTAGCTGTGGTTTCTAAAGTAGCATAAAGTTTTAGAGGAAAGAAAAAATTGCTGGTTTTTTTTAAAAGAAATCAGGCGTGTAATCCCACATCAGTGCCTATCTGAGTTTTCCACACTTAAAGAAGACACCTCTACAAAATGTGAAAGAACAACTGGTCATGAACACAGGTCGGGGAAAAACAAAGAAGGTTGAAAGCGCGGAAACAGAGATTCTATAGTGTTAAAATACACCCTCAGAAATAAATCATGTTTTTTCAGATCCACACTGTAGGCTGAATTTGGTATGCGGTGTAACAATTTATTATTATTTTAGATTGATAAGTATTTGATGGGTGATGTGGTTTAATGAACATCAGCCACCTTTATTTCCCAAAACATTTTCTCACACTCATTTCTAAGATGAGTTGAATGACAAGGCAATTTCTGTTTAAAAAATTTTTTTTTTAACAACATACTTTTACACCAGCATCCTAGTGTGGGTTCCGAAGCTTTTTTTTTTTAAGAAAACCCCAGCTCCACTGCTCTTTAACAAGAATGTCATAAAAGGTGAATATTTAAGAAAATTAAAACAGATTAAAGAAATTGGTTGTGTTAAGCTCAAAAGTATGGTTATCACAGCCTTGCTGTAATCCACAACACAACATGGCAACTAATCTTTCAGGGGCAAATGTAGAGAAAGAAGTTACACCAACACACTAATCTTTCAGGGGCAAATGTAGAGAAAGAAGTTACACCAACACACTAATCTTTCAGGGGCAAATGTAGAGAAAGAAGTTACACCAACACACTAATCTTTCAGGGGCAAATGTAGAGAAAGAAGTTACACCAACACACCAAACACATCTAAAGTAAAAAATATGGGGTGCTCTTTCCATATGCCGATGTGCCCCTAGGCGTGAGAATGGGGAACTTTAACTTTCAGCATCTGCTGTTAACCTCTTGGATCTTTCTTCCCGAGTGGCCTGCCACGATCAAAATATTGCAAAGGCAGAGTGGTCGAGGCTGCCAAAACTATCGGTCATCATCTCGCCCTAACAATAATACACACCGCTCCTACAAAAAACACATAGGATCCTGCGTTCAAAATGCGCACAAAATAGCAGTCCATGATAAGAGAACAGAACAATCTGAGAGAAACCACAACTAGCTTAAACAACTATCACTCCTAAAAGATTTCAACTTCAAGGAAAACTGGCTAGTAAAAAGCACATTACTTTGGAAACTGAAATATTAGGCCATACCAAGCGCCAGAGAGAACTTAAAGAATTGTAGCAGAGGCACGGTGACCAGAAAGAGGGACAGGGGCTTGGCACAACAAAGATGGGTACAGAATAATAAGTGGCACCAAGAAAGAAAACCAAATGGCAAAAATCGTGCTTCAGTACCCATACCAAAATGATGACCGAAACTACATTAACGACTGCATTCACCAACAGGAGATGTAAAATGCAGATACTCGTACGACAATATACTCTGTTTACAGGAGAAGATAAGCAACAAATATTCACCTGTATTTTCCAGTAGAGTTTTGGGTGTGTTTGATCTGTTGATAATCTCAATCAGCGGTGTTAAAACCATTTCAATAAACGGCTGCATATCACTTCCTGCAATCATTGATAGAAATGTATTGATATCATGAAATAAATATCAAATCAAGTAGAGCTAACCAGTCAGCATCACATGATCTCAAACAACTGGTAGGGCAATCAGCAAATCATTCAGACAATTCCTCAAACTAAAAGTAAAGGTGAGAGAATCTACTTCTCTGCCCAGGTTTTATCTCATTTGGTTCAGTTTATTTCTGCAGAACAGCTAGCTGCCTGTCGAGAGCGTCGCACAGAGCATGACCTCCCTAAATATTCCCCAGGGGTCTCTGTTTCAGCCGCGAACTGAATGATGCCGCCGCGAAGTGAACCCATGACCTTCAGAGCATGGGGCAAACGACTTGACCACTTCGCAACGGTGACTAGCTTCCTAAAACTGGAAACAACAAATTACAATCATTTTTCTTCTGTCACATTTGCTGTAGTAAAGTAAGCAAATGACACCTGACGCCAGTGGTGGATCATGGGTATGGTGCTATTGATATTTTTCTAGACAAAATCAACACTTGAGTGATGTAGTCACGACAGCTGCCTTTACTTCCTATTACATTTTCGGCAAAGGTCAATCAGGAAGCCAAGGTCATTTATACAAAAAAAATTTGCATACACCACGGTGCAGAGTTTTGAACCGGCAAACAAGCACCTAGCCACTGCACTAATGTGGCTCTGTCTATATGCTGCAACCAGACAAGATGTATGCTCACTACATTTATACCCGTTTTCTGGTGTGATTAAAAGCTTTAATGCTGAGAATAGTAGCCAGCTGTCTTCTTACTAATTTTTATGTTGCTGACTCCCTTTCAATCTTTCTAGATGACAACTGTGTTAAAGGAAGGAATGAGAATCACAGCTCATAGTGGTGGCAAGACAGACAGATAGTAAATCGACAGATTATCCTCACTGCACAAGCCTATAAGCGCTCAGATCCTGTTTTCAGTATATCCCTCAGCGTGTGGCGACTGATAACAGCAGTTCTGTGCTGGTTTACTATTCTGCTTTGGCTCCTGTACAGTGTTCATATTTAGTGACACTTCTTTTGACCTCAGGTTCTTGTAGTCTTTTGAGCGTTGCCCATTCAACATCTCCTGAATCACCTTTTAATCTTGCCTCCTTAAGAGCACTGAGAATGAATGTCGGCCCGGTCCATTGATTCTCCTATACCTACCCAGGCCCTGCCAGCGAGCCAATACGCTCGTTCATTCCCTCTTACCTCAGTGCCCTGGCACAAAAATGAAACCTATTCCAATCAGATGAGATTTCCTCAGCGAGTCCAACCATTCTCTTCTAATCCATCCTGTCTTAATCCTCTTAAGCATGCTCATGAAATAGTGGTGGCACGTGTAACTAGCAAGACTTGCTTGTATTCAGGAAAGTCTCTCCACAGAAAAAAAAAGGACAGGCAAGATTGTAGAAACCATATGATACCCATGCAGTCTGATCCCGCTCTCAGCCCATTTCGATTACTACCACGCACAAAAACAAGTTATCGCCAATATATTCGGAACAAAACACAAAAATTAACAGGATCAGAAAAATCGGTGATCTGTCTGCCTGTTGAAGCTTCAAGCCTAGACCAGCTGCTAGCCAATGCCAAGGACCTGGTCTGCTCAGCCATAAAAGTTCTCAGGTTGCCTTTCCTCTTTCTAGGATAAGGCTAGTATCCTTCTCAATGTGCTTATCTGCCCAAACCGTTAGCATAATGCAGGGCCACCCAACATAAACTGAACAGGTAGTACTTGTTACTGCACAAGACCTGGCCACTGCTACTGTTAATTATGCAGCCAACATATTTAAAGTCTGACTATTTGAATTTCCATATTTTTTCAATGTGATTTTTGCTTGAAAGTTTTGTTTGTGATGTGAACTTTGTATTTAATACTGTATCAAGGTCCTGTTCCACGCCCTTGGGGTTAGTTTGGCATTCAGTACCCATAATTTAGAAACAATTTATAAAACAGTGAATATAACTAACCCATTTTAATGGCAATTTCTCCAATAGCCCAGGTTGCATTGTTACACACAGAGATCAGTTCTGGCTTCAGGTTGGCCGCTAAAATGGGCATGAAATCCGCTGAGAAACCAAAAGTAAATAACTGCAATTAGAAAATTTCAACAACAAAAAATGTCATTTAGGTATATTTATATGCATCAGGAATGTGCGTCTTTATAATCTTTAATGTCTTTTATTTTAGCAGAACACAAAAATAAATAAATTTGATAAAATAGATTAAACAATTAACAGAAGATGCCCAATGTGAGACACAAAGATTTTTGGTGACCTATTCATTTACAGAAAAAAACTTTTAAAAACCTAACTTAATAAAATACAGGATTTGCTCAACAGTAAACAACCCTTTGCACAGAAATCTAGCCAGTCAAATTATGTGGTTCTGAAATAAGGACAGTAAATAAATGCAATGAAAAACATCTAGAAGCATCCGAGATGTAGGGTTATAAAATCAATGAAAAGTACTAACAAATAAAACATGACAAGAGCTAATAATTTCTGATTAACATAACAAAACTTAAGAAAAATTCATATATTATTAAAAAGTGAAAACTTACATAGTCAGGTCATGCCTTAAAACGGAGAAATACCAAGATTGAACTGGAGGGTACAAGACTGAGGAAAATAGGTAAGGACAGACCAAGGACACAGGCAAGAACAGGTTTCCTTAACTAGGGGAAGCAACACAGACAACTTGTTCTTTGTGTTCACCGGCTATAAACTCTCGCCGGAAAGTTCCAGTAGTTTGTCCACTTCTGGACTAGTCCTGTTCCAGAACCTAAGTGTTGTGTGCACATCCATTTTACAACAGTGTATGCAGACTTGGTTCTTCTCAGGCAGATACACTCTGACCCTGAAGGAAACTCCCAATTAGTTGCCTTTGGGTAGGCAGTGGGTCTATTCCCACATGGAGAAGACAAATGGTAATTAATATGAAAGAAGATGATGTTTCCCAATGAAAAGAAGCCTTCAGAAATCTTAATTTAGCAAATATCTAAAATCTGATTAAAGATTCATTGCCTACATCATGGGAACCGAAAACCGAAGCCTTATTGCTGTTAATGAAAATTACAGAAGAGACAAGAGGACGGGTACTGTGCAATCATGTACCATGCGTAACAACAGCACATGAACTGTTGAAGGGCTTGGGAAAGAAACTTGTGCAGACACATAGTCATTAACAACAATTGATAAGCCACTTGATTATATTACAATTATAATAAAAATCAATTCAATAACATCTTTATAATCAACCCTGAGATTAACCTTCATTATCATGTCCTAATGCAGCAATAGTCATTACCCAAACAAGCTCATAATTAGCCCTATGTTAACGGATACAAGACATTCTTGACTAACAGACAACAAAAATGAACAGACATATGAGGCTTCAGAAAGAAACCTTATCACAATCGACGTCACTGCGTATTGGGCATTCCCATGCATGCTCAGTCTTCCGATGCAGCAGCCACTAAGGTATTACTACCAATTTCTTCCACGACAGGTTGTTTATAATGACTCCTATCTCGGCCTCAAAGACGGCACAGATGTGCTTCAGGGTCAAAGTTGAGCAGAGGTATGGTCATGAACACCAGCTGACAAAGCACTTGATGATGATTAGAACTATAATGAAAATCAATCACAGGACATTCTGGACTTACAGATGCATGGGCGGACATGCTGGAAACATGCTTTCGTGAGGTCACCAAGAAGAGCAAATGAGCTCTGCCGAACTTCAGGCATCGGATCCTGCTTGGATGTAATAAAACAGGAATAACAGATTACACACAAAAACTGCAATACAATAACCAGCTTCCGGCATAGAAAACATTCTAAAGGCAAGAGGATCACCTTCACTGCATCATTAGTTAAAAGAACTGATTTCTTCCAACTCAGCAAGTGTCTTTTTGCCAAGTACACTGCACAAAGCTCTAGCTATGATCCCTATGGATATCTGAAACACTTGCACTTGTAAATGGATGGAGTCAGAAAACCCCACAAATAACTTTTTTAAATTTCAGATTACATCAGTATGGAAAGAAGCAATAAATGTCTGTTTGTTCTAAAGTGATTGTGTGCAGCAATCTTGCGTGGTTAATGAACAATCTATTCAAACTGTCAATTAACCATTTTACCCATTGGGGGGGGGGGGGGGGTGTCTATAAACCAAGGGGGATCTCCCCCCCCCCCCCTTAAAAACAAATACTTGGCAGGCTAACGTTACTATGCTTTTTCTTATGTTCACCTGTAATACACTAGGGGCACCTTTTAAAAGCATATTATACTATCTGCTTGATCACTGGCAAAAGATATCTGCAGTTGAGGGGGGGAGGGATAGGCCCACTGTTCCTTAAAAAGCATGCAGTAAAAGATAATTAAGAATTTGCTGAAACTGGTGTTGGGTCAAAAGGTAGAGATATCACAGCCTAACTGTAAACTACAAAACTTCCTAACTGCCCTTTTAAGGATAAACAAGAAAAAGAATAATAAAAATACAGAGAAAGAAAAAGAAACCAAGGGGAAAAAAAAGAATAAGAATGTTAACCATGTGCAAACATACCTGCACACACTGATACAGCAGCTTCAAAGTAGAACAATCAGCCACAAGCACTTCAATATGTCCTTCAAGACCCTCGGCAAGCCCAGACAGTAAATCCAGGGCAACAATCATAAAGTCCTTATCAGGGGCATCATACTGGTCAGGCTGGATCATATTTGCCTAAAACAAAAATAAATGAGTGAGAGTTGTAGGGTAAAGAAACATTCTCAAGATTTCTCTTGTCTAGAGATAATATAAATAAGAGTGGATTTTAGCATGTAGCATTGTAGTCCTTGCTGGTATTAGGAAGTTCAAGCACTGTATTGATATTCTTGTAAGAGAGAAGAATTATCCAAGTCTAATAAAAGCCTCTCGAGTGCTACACACCATGCTTTATAATTTTTTTAATACCTGGTTCTATTCCAATGTGGGTAATCTGGCAGCTGGTTACTTTGGGTTGTGCAACACCCTTAAAGATTTTGGTTTGGCCAGTTTAGCAACATAGCAGGGAGGAAAACAAACTTCCAACTTCTTTGTAGAGGGAGATCAAGACAGATGTTGGCCAGTTTAGCAACATGGCAGGAAGGAAAAGAGGTAGAGGGAGATCAAGACTGATGTTGGCCAGTTTAGCAATATGGCAGGAAGGAAAAGAGGTAGAGGGAGATCAAGACTGATGTTGGCCAGTTTAGCAACATGGCATGGAGGAATGATTGTATCAGAAAAAAAATCACAGCATACCCACCAGAAGGTTGTGGACAGAGATAATTAACAACACATGACACAGGCTATAAGTTGGCTGCATATCCTTTACATGATGTTGCAGAACCAACCCCAGCCTTTTGTCTGGCTATTTGTGACTTTAACTAGGCAATTCTATGTTCACTAGTTTGCCCCTGCTTCCTGAACAGTCAGCTCAGTCAGATGAATCAACTATAAGAAGTATTTGCATTAACCCTTTGGAGACGAAACGGCAGAAATATAGGTCTGACGCACAAAGTAGCCAAAAGGATGACTGGGTCCATCGGTCGGCCCTATATAATAGGAGCCTTGATATTGGTGGGCCGGTTTTCGCACCAGGGATTCAGATTGTTTCTCGCATTTCTTGAACATGTGTGCTGTTCACTGACGGCTTTTGAGAATGTTTTGTGTTCTGCAATTTTACGTCAATTTTTTTTCTGGGGGTTACATGTGCCGAACAATGGCGAAAAGGACTGTTGTGTCATAGCAACTGAAACATAGCTGGAGGCAGGAAAATGAGTAGAAACATGTGCCAGAAGTGTCTCAAAGGGGGTTACTTCCCAAAACACAAGAGTTGGGTCTTATTCAAGCTTCATCCATTGGAAAACTCACCCACTTTTTTTTTAGGTTAGTCATGTGTGTTCCCAAGTTTAAAAAAACAAAGAAATTGTTTGCATAAATTATGCAAATAAGAATAGTTAATTTGAATAAATGTTGAGATTTTAGTTTGATTCATAAATATTCTGTTAGCTCATTCAATTTCCTACATGAGGGTTAATTCTTCTTTTTCTTTTCGTTTGAGTGATGAAACTGCGTTGTGTCCCTTGTTCAGTGCTATGATATTTGCTGGCCCGGTTAACCTACCATTAATTCTAAAATGAACTTACATAATTCTGTGCCAGGGTCTGCTCCACAAGACAAACACATCTGCGATAGACAGGTTCACAGTATGGCAAAAAGCCCAACTGCAAGGCTGTGGCCACACTTGAGAGACACTGTGAGCAAGCATTATAAACAAATACATATGAAACAAATATAATGACATCCACTTATTCATCATTATCATCATCATAAACCACTTCTGCCATTAAGCGTCATGAAATAATTTGTGATCTAGTGCACGTTGGCTGCCACTGTCATGCCGTGAAGTTGCAGAGTGTCTTCAATGTTGTCAATCCATATTTTCCACAGCCGTTCTCTAGGACATCAAATGTCAAACTTATTAAAGCTGATATAAAAAAGATTGACAATATTCAAGTAATGTGTTCATCCATCTATCAGTCTGACCATCTTGTGTGTTTGTTTTTACCAGGGTTCATAGCCAAATTTACCAATCAATTTCAAGGCTTTTCAAGGTCTCTTTAGTTTTTTTCAAGGTTGTCTCGGTGTAATACTAAAACAAGATTTTTGCCTTGTTCAAGGGTGTACAGAGCACAAAAATGTACTTCATTCGTGCCACAAGGGAAAGTGGGGAAGGGACAGCGAAAGACAGAGAGGGAGACAAATACAGAAAGAGGGAATGCAGATACAGAGATGGGCAGATGAAGAGAGAAGGAAGAAGGGAATGAAACAGAGATATGGAAGGAGGAAAATATGACAAAGATAGTTAAAGGAAGGGAGACAGAGGGAGAAAGAACAGACAGGAAGAGAAGCAGATGCAAGCAGAGATAATTGTAGACATACAGGAGAGAGAGACAGAGGGAAAGCATAGAGAGGCAAGCAGACAGAGGGAGAGAACTAAAGAAAGAGAAAAAAGGCAGAGCAGGAGAATGGGAGGGAGGTATACAAAGAGGAAGTGAAGGGAGGCAAACAGACATAAAGCAAGAGAGAGAGAGAGAGAGAGAGAGATGGGTAAGGAAGGCAGTGACAAACACAGATTAAGAGAGGGGGCAGGAAGGGAGACAAGATACAGCAAAGAAAAAGAAAAAAAACAGCCTTCTGCTGACCCCCCCCCCCCCCCCAATTTCTAGTGTAGTGGACACAATCACTAGGGAAAGATAGTTGTGGGGCAAAAAACGTACTTAGATGAACCAGGGGGGAAAATGGGGGGAGGGGGGGGGGAGAGAATGAGAGAGGGTAGAGGGTAAGGAAATCTAGAGAAAATGAAAAGACAGGATGGAGAGGAGACAAAGAAGAGATGAGACAGGAGAAAGAGCAAGAGAGAACAGAGCAAGGAAAGGAAGAGAGGAAGAATGGAGAAAGGAGAATAGTGGAAGATCAAAGGAAAGAGAAGGGGTGAGAGAAAAGAGGTAAGACACGGTTGTGTGTGTGAGCGGGGGGGGGGGGGGGGGGGGAGAGAATAAGAACACTGATCGTCAAAAAATAGAATTAGGAAATCTGAGGCCACTTTTCCGGTTCCTACCCTCTCCCAATGAGAATGTGGCTGAGGTCCATAAACAACAGTGATAACCCCAACTGCCCCGTGCTTGTCCTATCTGCATGTGACAACAATAGTTCAATTTCTTACACTTAAGGCTGGTGACCTGAGAGCCAAGGTCATTTTGATGAAGAAAAAAGGATGTTAAGGCAGTGAAACTTTCCTGTATTTCATTTGTTTTGACAACCCATAGATTATTCTGACTCTAAAATTTGCATTTTACACTCCCACTTATTCCGCCTCCAAAAAAAAAAACTTTTCCTTTATATTTCCCCCGTGTGGGTTCCAGGGCCCTATTGTGGGGAAAACAAGAATAGACCCACTGCCTCCCCAAAAGCATGTCGTAAGAGTCGACTAACTGGGGAGCTTCCTTTGAAGTCGGAGTGCATCTGCCTGAGAGACAAGGAACCAGCAGTCTGCATTCAATTGAATCAGATCTGTAAAACTGATGCACACGCAACACTCAGGTTCTGGAGCATGACTGCAGTCCAGAAGTGGACGAACAACCAGAACTTTACGCCAGAAGGTACAGCTGGTGAACACAAAGAAGATATTCACACCACCATGGCCTCAATTCCACTTTCTAACTGTATTCATTGTCCAGGTTCTTTGCCATATGTAGGATTGGAAATACATGCATAAAACTCACTTTTCTCTCTATAGATGTTCAAATTTGTATCATGCTACTGAAAACATTTTTGTCAATTTTTATTATAAATTTCTACTTTATATCTACCTTCAGCTATTATCTAGCACATGTCTAAAATAGGAGAGGTTTGATACTTTGTTTTATTATATTTTTTTTTACCTTACACTACCTGTATGTATAATCCTCAGCAACAACACATCCATGCATATATAAGTGTTGACTGACAACATGAGTGGGTGGCCAAAAGGTTAAGAACAATGGACTCTCAAGTTGGAGACCCAAATTTGAATCCAGTGTAATGGGTTTTTAATGACAAGGACAAAAAATAAAATCCCAACCTGCCATGTGTCCCTAAATCCTCAGGCTCAAAGACCCCCTGCCAAAACCATAAAAGTGGTTTATACATGTGGTAAAGGCCGTTTTATTTCTAGGGGGGAACTGATAAAAATCTACACTGATACAGTGAACCCAGTCGGCTCAATGTGGGACAGGTACAGTCACAAAATATGAAACTAAAATTGCTCACTACTGCTTTCTGTTTTTAAAGTTTATTTTAAAAAATACAATTTAAGAAGCTATCCAAACAAGTAAGATAGTGAAATTGGATAGGTCAGTATAGTGGCTGAAAAAAAAACATTTGCAAATCATCGGTCATCAAGTGCCTTGCCAACTAGCATAAGTGATCATTGCAAAGATTACCTCCAACAGGGGGAATAAATCCTTATCCTCATCTTTCAGCAAGTTCCACTTATGTATTAGTGGCGGCATCAGCATGTTTACGTATTCCTGAAACGGAAAAGAAATAAACATTTCAAATACAAGAGGGAATAAACGTCTTTTCTGACATCAATGCCTATTACACATTAAAATATTTAAACTTGCAAGATCAACATAAACTAAATGCTTTCATGCTTTAAAAAAATAGCTTAGGCTCAAAGACCAACAGCAGTTTCGGAACTAGAATGCTGAATCGACACCACAGCACTGAGGACATTGAAATTAGCGCTCTGTCCCGATCGTCAGCAGCAGGCAAAGAGTTCTAATTCTGATAATTAACTGACTGTATATGTCTCACACTTCCTTTGAGTGTTAAGCATCGGCCAGATCCCCTGGTCTCCTCGCAGCGCCATCCGTAAGTGGGACAGAGGAGAATTATTATCAGCAAAGTCTAGATAATTAAGCTGTTTTGTAGGAGTCCACTAAATTCCATTCTTATTGTTAGCAGTTGTTATCTTCAAAATCCAGCCTACTGCCAGCAAAAATAGGATAAGCGACAAAGGACATCAGTGTCGCACACCTGTTTTTATTTCAAATGTATCTATTAGCTTTCCCTCATGAAGAGCTTGACATTTCATGTTTTTATGTTTCCTTTACTAAGTTAAAAACTTTCTGTCAAATTCCATCATCATCATCATCATCAAGTGCCTTGCCGACTGGCATGGGTGATCATGCCTCTCTACAATCTGCGATCTGAAGCTGCGTGTATCAGTTTGTGTGTTGACACCACTCCATTTCATGACAAAATACTGTCAATTGTCTTTTCACGCTGTCACATGCAATAGTGCCCCATTAATTTCCAGAGAAATTCCCCATCAATGATGTCAAAAGCTTTTTCATAATCTATGAATCCAATGTAAAGTGGTGAATTTAATTAAATACTCTGTTCTATTATTATATGTAATGTGGCTGTTTATCGGTAGAGGATCTGTCTGGCCGAAAACCTGTCTGTTCACCTCTTAGCTTTTTATCAATAGCATCTTTAAGTCTTTCTAAAATAATCCTACTTAACATTTTTCTTAGAACTGACAGCAAAAAAATTCCTCTTTAGTTTTCACACTCCTGCAGATCACCTTTTTTTTGGGCAGTTCCACAAGATATCCTTCTCTACAGTCTGCTGGTATTTCTTCTGTCTCCCAGACTTTACTAAATAACCTCTGTAGGAATTCCGCTAATGTGTTAATATTTGCCTTAATAACTTCTGCTAGGATACCATCTGGACCTCCCCTTCAGAGGATTGACAGCTTCCCTAATTTCCCCTTTAGATGGTATCTCATAGTTGATATCTAAGTCCATTTCTAAAGGCTGGATATCTGTAGGAACCTCTGCATGTGGTCTATTCAGAAGTTTGCTAAATATTCAGCCCATCTATATATTTGATCTTTAGGAAGACGACATCCTCCAGTTATCTGACTCAGGACAGCAAAAGACAGCTGACTTGTCTCTGGATAAAGTTATGGACATTTATGGGACCTGTACACATTCAACTTACAGGCTTGTTTAGGTGGTGTCCCACAGAGTCGGCCAATGTTCCAATGGCATCGTATAAAATGAGCAAATTCTTGTGCTGCAGATTAAAAAAAATTACTATATTATTTTGAGTATCTGACATAAGGTGGCAAGACAAGATCACAAACACTGAGTTACAAGAAAAAGCAGGTATCACAACAGTTTCTCAATGCTCGGTCTTCAACGGCTCAGCTGACTGCGTCAAACTTAGAGAATTGAGGTTGCTAGAGTCCACAGGGACACCGAGAGTGAATTGCAGATGGGCAGATGACTATAATATAAAAATGGTATGCAAGCTGGACATGAACGATACAGGTAATGAGGTGGATTTAAATGTGAAATGTATGCCCTGCACCATACTGCACAGAGGAAGAAAATCAGGAAGAATAGGGGTAAAGACAAAATTATTGTAGATAGATCAAGAGCTGAGCATATAAGAAGAAATGTCAAATACATTTGATGACAATAATGAATGTGAAGAAAGAAAATGTAAAGAGTACAATACTAATCATATATGAAGCTATTCTATCAAGCAGAAATTATTCCACTGCAGTTAAGGTGACATGACCGTTTGGGTTTTTTCCAGCAAATCAAGAATGAAAATTAAGAGCTGAGCATTTAAGAAGAAATGTTAGATACATGTGATGGCAAACATGAACGTGAAGAAAGAAACAATTTGAAGAGTATAATATTAGTCATATAAGATGCTGTTCTTTCTATCAGCAGAAATTATGCCACCACAGTTAAGGCAACATGACTGTTCAATATTTTTCAGCAGATTACGAGTTTAAGAAAGCAAATCATTTCTCATACCATAGTGATTGCATGGTTACTTTTAATGTGTTATTGAAGCAGCTTGTGTTGTGCTGATTCACTGAAGGCTATGATAATAATTAGTACGTAATTGTGTCCAAAGTTCTTTGGTCGTGTGATGAGAAAAGGAGCACTGGAAAATATCATGACTGGAAAAATCACTGGTAGAAAAATATTAAGAATCGACATCGCAGCACTCAGGACACTCCTATTAGTGCTTAGTCCCTATCTTCAGCAGCAAGCAAAGAGTTCCAATTCCAATGGTACCAGTAACCGTCTGATTGTATATCTTTCTCATCCTTCCCTTGAGTGTTGAGCGTCAGCCAGATCCCCTGGTAACTCCTCCAGCGCCATTCTCCTCAGACAGTAATAATCTATCTGCGCCTCCACACTGTTCACCCATTCCGAAACGGCCCTCACAATATCAAACATGTCATACACCAGTTCACTACCAAGTCTATCTGCCTGCTCATAACCTAACACGCCGGCATGACCTACCGGATGCTAACTACTTGGGACCTCTGAAGTGATGTTTTTCACTCTGCACGAAGCATGCCGGATTTCGCCTTTCTCAACACGCTTTGTGAGTCAGTTTCAATCAGGTCATGTGTGTACAGCTGAATCCAAGCCGGCAAAAGGCAGCAGAGACTGTCTCCACCTTCATTCTCAAGCTAGATGTTGTAAGCCTTTGCTGCACTAGGCGACGTCCATTTGCCTTTTCTCTAAAATACCATGCACTTCGTCTGCCCCTCAACACAGAGCCATCTGTATACATTATAACATCACTTGGGCGGGGATTGTCATAAATCATTTGTTGAACTTCTGATTCTGCAGCACCAGCTGGCCAGTCTCTGAACTCATGACCTAACGTGATTAGAACCCTACACAAGCCTGAAACTTGTTCGGACAGCTTGACCCACTCTCCTTGCTCAAAATTATCAAGCCTGCAGACCTCTGATTGTGACTTCAGCTTGCACCATCCAAGACCGTCCTCTTTTCAGTCTGTGACCTTAGCTCTACCCAGGGATTCATGCAGGAGGTGCTTCTTGTCTGCAGCTACTCCGAGATATGACTTTGCCTGCAGAACTTTGAGCAGAGTGGAAGAGGCAGACCAAGAGAAAGGATGGTGGATGGCTTAAGACAGAGGCATGCAGGATTATCATCAGTGGAATTTATCCAGAACACCAAAGACAGTTCTGTGCCAGGACACTCTGGGGAAAGAGGGAATGAATGAATGGACTGGCTTGCTGGCAGGGTTACGGCAGGTATAGGAAAGCAATGGAGAACTAGTATTATCAGTCAACACAAACTGAGGGACACACTGAAGATGGGATCCAAGTGAGTATCAACTTGTCCGATGTGTAATGAGGATAGTCTTTCAATTAACAAACTTATCTAACTATACTGACAGTCAACGTATCACATCAAACTTATACTCACCTGATATTTCCCAAAGGCAAACACCAAGGTTTCTAGAATATACCCTAGATACGGCACCAACTCTGTACAAGCTTCCTCTTCCAGTGTTGCAAATGCCGAACAAGCAGCTTCTTGCACCCTCTTGTTTGCATCTAAAATGCGCTTTAGAAGCTGAGAGAAAAATTAAATGAGACATAACGTAATAATGAGATGTACCTTCATATTTTTGTTAATGCCACAGTTATAGAGAAATTAAGGTGAAGGAGAGAGGATCGACTTCACTGCATCAGGCTTTATCACACATGGCCTAGTCTCTCTACACAAAATAGCTAGCTGCCTGCCTAGAGCATCTCACAGAGCAGGATCTCCATTGCTTCTGCGACGGCAATCCCTAGGAATCTCGATTCAAAATGAATTCGTGAACAGGACGCCGCGAAACGAACCTCGGACATTCAAAGCACGAGGAGTGGCTTGACCACTTTACCGCGGAGTTTTAGAGAAATGCTATATGTCATGCCGCTAACTTGCATGGGTGATAACATCGGTCAATAAGCTTTATTCTCTAGCACTATTAATAGCTTCACAAGAGAAATACTTTTCCTCTTTACCATTCATTTTGTTTATGAAGCTGACCAGTTGCTAGAGTGTGTCCCAGTTTCTGCTGTCACTTATCATTATGTAACAAACAATGTCACCATACAGTGTAGCAGCATACAAATTGGGTCATGGGTTATCTCACAATCATTAAGGATGAAAATCTGAACATTTCAGCTGAAATGCTGCAGAATGATTCAGAGACTGTCATGGACCAGGAAGAGACAAATACTGACATTCTAAAGATCTGAATAAGGAATCTCCTCTCATATAACAGCAACTTATCTCGGAAACTGACATATGGAGGCCATATAAAAGCACTGCAGACATGGTAATAACAGTAAAAGAGGGTACCGTATCAGGAAAGATAGGTAGAGGCCAACCTACAGGCACATGGGGGAGAGGAGAGAGGGGGGGGGGGTGGCTATTTTATACAATGTATCGATAAGGGGCCAAATGTTTCCATTATATTTCAGTCCCACCCCGGCTGTAGTCAGGGGCCCTAATATAACCCAATGGTTGAAGGACGTTTCTGGGACCACTTCCTGGGTGATCCTCATCCGCATGGTGGCTCTTAGTGTTTATCGCTTTGTGGATGTCCTGGTGGGGGTGAATCTCACTCATGTATTCAAAAACAGAACACATGAGACACCTTGGTCAGAAAAGAGGGTGAGGTACTTATAGCCTACTACATTAAAATTCTACAGAACTGTCAGTGAGGTTCGTAGTTTTAATTTACCTCCAAAACAAGGAGCAAAAAGGTATTTTACCTGACTATGAAGATGTAAACTAGATTTTCTCAAAGCTCCAGACATTCACACTCAATGTGACGTTGGGATTTGTGTTTGGGTTCTGCAACTCTTGTGCACGAAGAAACATATCCTAGCTGTAACTTTTGTCCCAACGATTTATCAGAACAATCTAAATAACTTGCAAAACAAACATGTCCCCATATTTCTTGATTCAAACCAAATATAAAAACTTCAATAACATACAACACACTGATTTATAATCAAAAAAGTATCCAGTTACCCAAAGTGTGTAATATGGGCAAGAATTGAATAAAACACACAAATGTCACGATGACACCAACAAAAGCTCCTCTACCAACAACACAAGCTAGTGAATGAAATTTTTTCAAACAAGAAAACAACCTGAAATATATATTTCCAGTGTGGGTGCCAGGCCTTATTGCGGGAAGGGGCCGAAAGGAACCCTCTGCCTCCCTCAACAAGCATTTTATAAAAGACAATTAGCTAGGGCTGTTTGATGTCGGAGTGCATCTGCATGAGAGGCAACGAATCAACAGTCTGCACATAAATAAGCACTAGACCTGTAAAATAGATGTGCGTGCAAAACGCAGTTTCTGGCATAACACTAAAATCTAGAAATGGATGAGAAAGCAGCAGAACTTTCCACTGGAGTTTACAGCTAGTGAACATGAAGAAGAAGATTACCTCTGTCATCAGTGGCTTCAGATAGCTGTCATGGGGCTGTCCAACCACCCAGTGGGCGTAGCGGCTCAGCGTCCAGCAGGTGATTGATCTGACCAGTGCTTTCCTGTGTGACAGGCAACTGATGAGATAAGGTACCAGCTCAGGCAGATGGGGGATCATGCCGTTCATGCAGCCTTCAGCAATGGCTCCCAGGACTAAGATCCCAGACTCCTTCACTTCCCAGTCGACATGAAACAGAACTTCTTTCAAGACTGGCAGAGCCACTGGCAGGATCTCATCGTGGAACACATTGGCTAAAACATCCAGGGCAGCTGCAGAACATTTTCCTGAAATCATAAAATGCATACAAATGAGTCAAGACTATACAGAACAGAGAAAACTTCATGTAATAACCAGTTCTTTCTCTCCGTTCACCCGAATAAATCATCATGTGTCCTGCCAACTGTCATAGGCGCTCATGCATCTCCACAGATCACGATCCCTGGTTGCCAGGCACAGCTCTCTTGCTGATATCCCTCTATGCCATCATTTCAGCCCATCGAGCATCATCTCTCGGTCCGCCTCTACCCCCTTTTCCACTGATCTTTCCAGAACATCGTGACAACTGGAAAGATCAGTCGAATATACCAGTTTGAAAAAAAAAATGCAGTGTCACTGGGCCCATAATGGGACCGCTTAACAGTAACACTATCCCCTTGCGTGCAGAACTGATATAGCTAATTCTAGATGCTGATCAGCTCATTACCTCATACAACATCAGAATAGTGACACAGTCGATTCCAGGCCACTCCGGCACACCAGGTAATGACAGAGCTGACAGACTGGCAAAGAAAGGAGCAACACAAAAACAACCACCTACAGCAACAATCCTACAGACAGCAAAATACACTTATAAGAGCTATAAACAAAGAGACTTGGCTGAACAGATGGGCCATGGGAGATGCTGGAAGAGAGGTTTATAGACACATGGCTAGCCCTGATCCTAATGACAGCATTAACAATTTAACAAGAAGGGACCAGGCCACCATCTTCAGACTCAGAACACAACACACTCCACTCAATGGACACCTAAACAGAATACAGCCACAGCACTCCCCAGAGTGACAGCTATGTAACTACCCCTACGAAACTTGACAATCATCTCTCTGAGTGCCCAAAACTCAACGAGACTAGAAGAATGCTACTCCCTCCGAGACCAGACAGGTGGAACACCTTGTACGGAGGAAAAGAACAGCTTGTGAAAACATGTAAATTCCTCTACATGGCATTGGACCAAAGGGCTCATGCGCCGCTATCACAACAACAATCCCCTTGCGTGCATGTCCTGAGAGGCAACTGAGGAAGGTTTCTGTGACACTGGCTGCCACAATCCGGTAGAAAACAGCAGCTGCAAAATCTGTATCGGTAATTAATAACAAGACAATAAACGGAGTGGTTAAGTTAGATAAGGCTTTGCTTAACTGAAGTTCTTAAGTGGAACACTGGCTAAAATCAATTTGAAAAAAAAAACAATTCTTAGGCTGATAACTTGACTGCTGCCATGTATATCTATCGCCACATTTACATACACCAGCATGTGATCTTGCACAAAAACAGTTTCAGTAGTAAAAACAAAAAGCACACATGCAATGTCCAGTATATGAAAAGGCTCATTAATACCCTAACTATCAAGGTGGGAGTCATTTACAGAATTGGCAGCAATCGATTTACCATAGATAATTCTTTGTCACTTCGTCACTGTAAACTGACATGAGATACCATGGGCAGAAAAGCAGCAGACCGGCAGCAATGGAGTTCACTTGTGAATGTCTTGTGTATCAGCGATATGAAGAGGATATACAGAGAGACTCATTTCCAGTAAAATCACAATTATGTTTGTTTTTTAAAGGTTACCCTTAAAGGAGTCCCTATATCTCACCATTTCTACAGTGTATATATTCATTCCTTCACAACATGTGAAAGATAATGTCCACAGACAAAAAAAATCACAAAGGAAAAACATGACTGAAGAAATAAAAATGTACTCACTGAGATTCCAGTCAGACAGTTGTTCTTCTTCAATGGTATCGTCGCTCTCATAATGTTCATCCTGCACAACCATCACCAACAATAGTAATGAATTACAGAGTCAGGGGAAGTTTCAAATTTGAGACGTAGTTAATTTATTTGCATGCATGTTTGGTTTTTATTTCCACATGCCTGATGCGCCTAAAAGGCGTGGAAAGGGATCTTTACTTTTACTTACTCCTTTTTTGTTTGTGGTGGATCTTCAAGGTTAGGACTTCTTCCTATTTCTTTTGACTCCTAGATAAAAAAAAAACCAAGAGCCACCGTGGTGTAGCGGCTAGATGGTCGCTTGTGGATAGGAAGGCCGTGGGTTCAGGCCAGACGTTTTTCAGAAACAACCTTGGCTCTCAGGTCAACCCAGCCTCAAGTGGGTACCAGGTACTGTCCTGGAAAGTAAAGGTGAGTGGCGTGATGCTGATCACATCACCCACCCAGTGCTGACTGGTCTATAAATTATAGGTCTAGCCCTGAATGTCTAATAAAACTAAAGATGTGGAAAGAGATCCTTTACTTTACACCTAGGCAAGAACCAGTCAAATAGGGCACCAAGAAAATTTACCAAAAATGTCCATCCATATAATGCAATAATTTTAACATGTTCCCTTTATTAAATCTTCTTCTTCGCGTTCACTGTCTGTAAACTCTGGTGGAAAGTTATGGCTGTTTGTCCACCTCTTGTTCCCGAAACAGTGTTACATGCTCATTTGTTTTACAGATCTGACTTATCTGTATGCAGATTATTGGTTCCTTGCCCATCAGATGACTCTTACAACATGCTTGTTGTAGAGGTAAGCGTCTATGGCAGGGCTATTCAACCAAATTTACTTGGGGGCCAAAATTAGGAAAACTGGGATTATCCCTAGCCCCAGGACAGAAAGATCATTAACACAATGTAGCTGGCAATGATCAGCGGGCCAAGCAGCAGGCTTTCGCGGGCCACCAGCTGAACAGCCCGGGTCTATAGAATGGTACCCACATGGGGACCTTCATTAAATTAAACACAACTAGCGTAGAAATTATTAATTAACCATAATTTACAAACAATCAGACATGCATATGCACACACTGGCTTATCACCTGAATGCTGTAGTGAAGAAAGTGGCAGGAATGTGTCAAAATCAAAATCTGTTTTCAACATACCTCTTCTTCACAGTTCTGTGTGTAGGCTTTAGATTTGTGAAATCTTGGTTTGATGTCCGACTCCTTGTCTGGTACCATATCATCCTCTTCCTCGTCACCCTTTTAGTGAAAAGATGATATAACATGTCAAACTGGTAAGGAAGTAATACACTTTACTGTAGACTTACTGCCCGGCTCTCTAGCGTAGTTGGCTAAACCGGATTGCGCAGAGACCGGGTGACGAACTCCTTGTGGTCCGGGTTCAATCCCGGGGGTAGACAGAAAAGCCACATTTCTCCCGGATTTACGGTATTTGCAATGGAATCAATGCCGAAAGGTTGCGATATCCATAATACAGAGCCTAAGGGTTAACAACTCATGGCTTATGAATACTAAAACAAAACAAACAACAACTGTAGACTTACTACTACTTTTTCTGATTCATATGAAAATTATCCACAGAGTTAACTGAATCTGTCGATTCCTCCCTACCAAAAAGCTGTCTTCCTGGACAGTCATACATATTTATATATGGTTGTGAATCTTCAACAATTTTTAAATAACAATTCCTGATGCTTTATTAAGGAATGCTGAAAATTCGCTAGACGCCCTAAATCAGGGCTATTAACTAGAGACCAGTGCACCGCCAAATTTGACCCACAGAGATCTTGCAAGTGATAGCCTACTGTATTTTATTAGTGATATTTGTATGCTTTGGCTTGGGCCTCTAGCCCGCAACAATCCACATTTTCAACATCTGGCCCCCGGGCAAATTTACTCAAATATACCGAAATGTTTTAAAAGATTTAAAACACAAACAAAAACATAATAAAGGAGGTATTCGTCAATTTCAATCATGCAGAAGAGAATAACTTCAACATGTAACAGCTGAAAATATGGATGGAAAGGAACGTGTCAGCAAGATGTGTCAGCACACAAGCTGACTTGTGCTGATTGAACAACATAAGATTTGAATCAAGTTCTTTCTGTCCATGCGCATTGCAAGGCATTTGATGATTATTATTTTAAAATGTATTAAGAAAACACTGCCAAAGGTGTGTGAAAATTTGCCCTTTTTTTTAAACTTCATACTGGCTAGTTAGTAATAGATACTAAACCATCCGCAATCACTACCAATGGTAGGGAAATGAGAAGGGTGGAGGACTATAGGGGCAGTGAATCCACATTACGAGCCAGATTGACTTGGCATAGCAAAAATGACACGCACATAAGGACATCAGATGACCTGTTAACACAGAACTGGTACTATTAGTCTCTAGACACTGGGGTTCATAATGAGGGAAGGATCTGATCACCCATGGACATGTCCGGAGTGCAATGATGATAACTCAACTAACATACTAAACCACCATAATTTGTGAGGCAATGTACACTGTTTTAATGGAAGCTTCCTTTGATGGTGAGGAAACACCAGATCATATAATTACCCTACCTTCTCTTAGGAGTTAAATATTCTGTGTGCGGCTCCACTCCTTCTTCTTAGAACTGCCAGCCATTTGCTGAGTGTGTGCTACTGACAATCCCAAACAATCTCCGTTAAAAAAGGCACTTGTAAAATTATAGATGCGCCCGTAAAACGAACCCCAACCTTCACGGAATTAAGCTAACAGCTCGACCACCTAGCCTTAGAAACCCCTAAAACTCAACTGAACTATGTGACAACACTTGACAACCATTTAAACAACAGTTTACTGTGTATAAAAAGGAATCATAAACTTACTGCCTATGTACATTTTTATAGAAAATTCCTTTAAAAACTCACCTTCAATAGAATGATGTCTACTTCTGAATATTTCATCCCAGTAATTAGTACTGGCACCAGCCGATCTAAGTGAGAACTCAACACTTCCCTGCAAACTTTTTGTTCGGCAAGGGACAGCCAAAATTCACAGGACTCTAATGAAACAGTCTCATCTTCATCCAGGGTCCGCTCCATCATATACTGTAGATTATATCATCAATGACTAAAATCTTGGCTACATGAATTAGGCACATGACTTAGCAGATAAATTATCAGTGCATTCCTCCTTAGCCTTCTGTTACAAACCTAACTTTACTCCATTGTTCAAAATATCAAACTGTCCCTGTCAAATTATCAAGGATATGTTAAAAAAGGTCACTGAGGCTAGGGTTGGGTAAGGGGTTGACTAATGTCCCCTTTAAAGTGCTTCAGCCATAAAAGCTAACTATAAACAAATTTTTAAAACAAAACAATGAATGTGTTTATGAAATTTCAGCTGAGTAAAAGTAGCACCACACACACCAAGCTTATATAGTTTCCTGTATGTTCTCTTATGAACATTCACATCACCAGTTTGAGTAGAAAAAGCACCATACACATCTCTTTCAAAAGGTTTCACCCCTATATATGCTCTCTTATGAACTGTCAGATGGGCAACTACCGTAAAAGATGCACCACAAACATCAGATTTCTCTCCTGTTAGTAAGTTGGCAGATTATCTCATTGCACATCAACTATTTAGTCCATAAGTGTTCGGATCCGTTCCTCTGTAAATCCTGCAGCGTGCAGCGGCTGACGACACCAGTTCTGTATTGGCTTCACATCACCAGTTTGAGTAGAAAAAGCACCATACACATCTCTTTCAAAAGGTTTCACCCCTATATATGCTCTCTTATGAACTGTCAGATGGGCAACTACCGTAAAAGATGCACCACAAACATCAGATTTCTCTCCTGTTAGTAAGTTGGCAGATTATCTCATTGCACATCAACTATTTAGTCCATAAGTGTTCGGATCCGTTCCTCTGTAAATCCTGCAGCGTGCAGCGGCTGACGACACCAGTTCTGTATTGGCTTCTTATTCTTCTTTGGCTTACTGCATAGTGCTCTTGTATAGGCACACAACTTTTACATGCTGTTATTCTGGTCATCATTCCAGATTCACAGTAATCACTTGGTTCTCATAAACATCTCACTTCTTAAAGAGTATTAAGTCCAATGGCTGGCTCTAATAAAAGTATGGGTTTTTTTTCATATTAAAATCCTGGAAAAGTTTTATTTCCTGGTTCTGTAGTAGTGGATCAGATGTCCAAGTCTTCTCAGATATTAGTAATGAAAAAAAAAAAAGATCCACGTGTACACTTTACAGTAACAATCTCTCAGCTGTTAAAAATAATAATCTTCTTTATTCTTTGATCATTATCAGGTCATGAAGTCTACTTTTGGTGATCATGTCCCTTTACCATCACCCATTCTCTTCACTTCTGCGCCAATTTCTTAAGTGTGCCCTTCCATGCTTGTGTAAGATAGTTTACTTTGGAAACTTCCTTCCACTTTTTTGAAATAATAATAAAAAGTCCTCATGTCACATATTGTAACCAAGGTAAAATTGTTTGAGGTTTTCTTCAACAATGTCTTTTTCTTCAATGTTTTAATGAATTTGTTCATTTGATCTTTTTTCTAACCAGCTGACTCTGTATTCTGACATTAAGAGTCTGGAATTCATATTTTATCCAGAAGATGTGTGTGAGGGTGTATTCACAAAGCTACTAATTACAGAGCAGGAAATAAGAGAAAAAAACTTCAAACCAACCATTCACTGAACGAGGCATGTTTAGAGATAGAAAAGCTATCTTCCTGATTAGTTTTAAAAGTCATTTTGCGTAGTTATCTACGCCAACTGCTCTAGCCTCCTTTCACAGATCACACAAAGAGAATCTCAGCACAGTGCACAAATAAAAAAAAATTATTTGTAAGTAGGTTTTTTAAGACAAAGTTCAGCTGATGTGAAGGCCTAGTTTTTACCATTTCCAAATTCAATACAAAGACTGTTTTTTTTAGGAGCTTCTAACCATTATCCAAGTAGGCTAGATAATCCTTTACTCTGCATTTTTAGTGGTCAAAAAGGAGATTAGGCATGGTCAATGTTTGTAGCCGTGACAAATTTTTGTTTCTGACAGACTGTGGGCATTGCATTTTCTTCCATTTATAAACTGTTGGTGTGACACTATGAGCTGCACATTTTATTTGGAATATTTTTTTGAATGTCAACAGCATGGTGTAGTAACCTTTAGATTTAGGCAAGGACGAGGCCTTTTGTCGTAGAATTAGTGGTGCCTTATTAGGATTAACTGCGAATGCAACTGCTGATCTGTTTGTAACTGCTGCTTCCGTCGATGATGAACTGCCTTTCTAATGTATTATTGCTAACGCTTGAGACTTCAGTCTGTGTTAATTTTTCCACAAGAGACAGAGATGGAGATTCTGTGCTTTTAACTGGCACAGGAGTGTAGCAACTATGGGGTGACCCATCTGCTATGAAGCTAAAACTAAGATTACCTCTACTCCGGAATAAGGTAGTATTACACCACCCACTGCATTATTTGTTTTTAAAATAACTCGTATGAATCAGTTTGCTCCCTGCTCCAGTAAGGAGCAGACACCGTTTCTCAAAGCTAACCCTCCCTATTATGTTTAAATTAAATTTTCCCTTTACAATTTACTTTAAGTACATCACAACTAAAAGTAGCATTATTCCTTTTTTGGTCGCTCCTTGAAAAATTAGGCCTTCCACTAAAATGCATGTTATAAACAATGAATAGAAGACCAAGACTAGCCAGAAAAAGCAATGTTCAAACCTGAATGATCTGGTCAATGTGGGGCAACAAGCTGTCAATTCTCACTTCCACCAGCATCACAAGAGCCCTGCACACATTCTTTCTCACATCCGGGTTCGTGTCCTCAGCCAGGAAAAATAAGTTCTGCAACAGTATCCCAAATGTATTAATGCATCTCTAAGACCATTTAACAGAAACTGGAAATATCTGTTTCTTAATGCACTGTCTAATTCAGTCGTTACACAGGATAAGTCGTGGTTCACAGAAACAAACACAAACAAGTCCGCAGGTTCTGATGAGACTGATTTAAAAAAAACAATTAAAAGAAACAAAACACACATAAACAGTTACGCCATATTAAAAGATTTTTATAGAAACTTTTCTGGAGCAGAAAGACAAAGGCCAGTAGGCAAAGCAAGAGGCAGATTGTGATGCAAACGGGAGGATAACATCAAGAGATGGATGAACAGCGGTCCGAAATGCACTGCTGCCAATCTTCATCATACAGCTGATTACTTTCTGATTACATGACATACACAGAGGTCAAACAGAATGTTAAATGACCTAATCACCATTGTTCATCTAACAACCAGCCTGTCGGTCTAAAGGTTTATTTAGACCCGGAGAACAGATGCCTAAAGTTTTCTCTTTTATGTGGTTATATTCAAGAAAGTGCCACATTAGAGACAGGAGTTATGAAATAAATTTCCAGCATCTAAACTCTACTGTTCCAATAAGAGACTTCTCTGAGTGGTCAGTTGAGGATACACAAGAGCCAGTCATGTACACAGCACGGAGCTAGCAAGGTTAAACGAGCTGTATAACAGCCTTTTAAAAAAAAGTGTCATCTATCAAGATCACGGGTCTTTTTCATTATTACAGATCCTCGAAGCATCTGCCAGAGGATTTTCCCCAAGGTCAGCAAAGCAATCAACGGGTTAGAATTTGCATTTAACTCTCAATAGAATTTCCCATGCCTTTAATGATAATCTGAACCACCATATGCTATGTATCTTCAAGTTCACCTGCAGTAAACTCCGATGCAAAGTTCTGGTTGTTCGCCCCCTCCGGACGTTAAGACTTTTTCCAGAACCTGAGTGTTGTGTGCACATCCATTTGTCAGATTTGGCTAATTTGTAATGCACACAGTTGTTTCCTTGCATCTCAAGCAAATGCACTTGACTTCAAAGGAAACCCCCAATTAGTCAACTTGTTGGGGAAGTAATGGGTCTAATCTTGTTTTACCCACAACATGGGCTCGGAACCAACAGAGGGACTATGTATCCAAACCCCCTTAACTTTCTACAATGGTACCAAATTTCAATAACTTTAAACAAAATTTTATCGCAGAAGTATGCCAACTTCTGGCAGTACCAACCTGTATGAAAGTGTCTATGTGAATCATCAGAGCCTGTGTTCTAGTTATAATGAAATGGTTGACACAGGAAATGGCAAGAGACCTGTGGAAATGAAGCAAAGGTCAACTGTACCCAAACACACAATACTGCATTTAAACGGCACATAAATTCTGCTAAAATTCGGTTTTCTATGTCCAGCCATTTAAAATGTTAGGGAATTCAAGAAAGTAAGTTAAGGATACTTTTGCATGTCCCCTAAATGTATTAGGTATATAGTGCTGGGCCTTAATTTGTACAGACCACTTGGGTGATGTAGTCAACTTAATGCCAGCCATGTTTACTTGGCTAGACTTTAGCTGGTACCTATCTGAGGATGGATCGTCCTGGCAGCTCTTGCCATTTTTAAAGGAATAAAATCTGGCTGTATGCAGATTCGAACATGTGACCTTTAGGCACACATGCGAGCATCTAACCGCTACATAACGGCAGATCCCTTAGAGTATTAAACCAAATTATAACAGAAAAGTTGGGGTGGCATAGAGGTTAGTGTGCTTGCTTGGACTAGAGCAGCACTCAACATTTGGGTACAAATGACTGGGTCCTTTAATCCTGTCACAACAAGGAAGCCAGTTTCCAAACTTTTACCGGTTTCTGATGATATGACATCTTTAGGCAGTGGCCAGAAGACTGAATCCAAACAGATGTTATGAATCAGTGCTGGCCATCAAAGTTTTGCAAAGTAAACAAAAAAAATTATAGCCCTCCTCGGACATTCAGCATTCTTAGATAAGGAGGTGAAAGCAGAGACTGTTGAAATCAGAGAGACAGGGTAGAATACAGGCAGCTCACAATTAGATAAACCAAAGTCTAAAACAGGCTCACAAAAGTATTCCTTGCCTGCACTAGTATGGATACTGGGCAGTGCTTTAGAGTTTAGACACTGTTGACATTCTCCCTGTGCAATCTGAGACGAGTACTTATAGAGATGTGCGTGTGTAATGAAAGACATCCTTTTCACATCAAGTAAAGGACCTTAACAAACCAAACCCCAGAATAACCGTTTTGCTTCTGAAATTGAGACTAACCTTATTTTGGGGTTTTGATGCCGGAAAAAATTCAAAAATTTGGGGATAAGTACATTCAGTGGTGCGTCTGGCAAGCTGTTGTCCAGGAGTTCAGCACTGTCTTCACAGATTTTATGTAGTGCTCCAAATGCCCCCTGCCATGAAATGAAATGTGTAATTATCATATAGGAAAAATCAAATTTCACTACAATAAAGTAGTTTTGTTTTTAAACCTATTCACAAAACATCTTCTGTCTGTGTTCAACCTTAAATGGGCAGCTGCCATGTCGTAATAAGTAGACTGCAATATCTGCACCTTTCTGGATAACACATCTGATCTCAGCAAACCACTAACTACTCCCTACTTGGATCTATCTTCCCCTTAAAACGTAGCTTCGGAACAAGAGAATTTATTCATAAATTGATTTTTTTTATCTTTCCTATTTGAACACCGTCTACCTTTTGCCTTCAATGCTTCCCTTCACTATGGTTTTTATAAGATCATTACAACTTTCAAGATGACAAAAATATTTTTTGGGTCTCTTTAACACTGCTTTCAACAGCTGCGAAGTCTCTCCCAAATCTGTGCATGACTGTTTTCATAAATTAAATAAAACTTCTATACATTAAAATCAGGCTTCAATTTGACCTTCATTCATCCAAAGATGTAAATGTGTTGTGCATATTTACAACATGACTGCTATATTTGCACCTTTCGGCCGACACATCTAGACTCTTCAGGCAGTTGTTGCCCAGATCAGTTTTCAGGTCAGTTTTGTGGAACACTGCAGTCTCACTATTGTATGGTCATCTTTGTTTCCTAGTTCACAAATGATGTCTCCCATAAGGCCAGTCCAGAGCAGCCAGGAATCGACATGTCCTGCACATGACAGTTCAACCTCACTTCTGTATACTGAGCCTCTCATCGCTGGTTGTGCCCTTTAGAAGCCACTAGGAGACAGTCTGCAGATCTAATCTACTTTCTGTAACAGCTTGATAATTGTCTAGGTTTCTCTTACAATCAGACAGAATACATATTTGGCAAATGTCATTTTAACATATTCATCTCTCTAGATGTTAATACTTTTCTCATCTTGAAAAGAAATTGTGTGGTCATCTCTGTTGTTAACTTAAAAATAGACAGCAAATGCTTGAGATAACAGGAGTGAAATGCCTATGTGAAGGAAACAACGTGAATACAAGCTTACTTTCTATCCTAAAACATTATCAGTCCCATATCTACTAACACTTACCTCACAGGTATTGTAATCTGGAGAGTCGAGACATGCACACAGGTGTGGCAAGACCTCAGGCCAGTTCTGCAACTCCCCCTTTGAGATAATATTTGTGATGATAATGCCTATGGTAGCCCTAATCAGCGGAGAAGGATCTCCGATACCATTGAGGCACTCTTGTTTAATAAAACTGGCAACCTCTGGCGGAAATTGCTCAAAGTGGGCTCTGACATTATTTTTCAATATCAGACCACTTAAAGATCGTGAAGAATCACCTGAAATGTATGAATACTTTGTGTCAGTTGTAGAAACATATGCTGCAAATAAGTGAGGCTGTAAGAACAGAAAGGGAAGAACTCTGCAGATACAAAGACATATCTTGGAAGAAACTGCAAGAATACAATGCACGGAAGTAAAAACAAAGCCAGCACTTCAAGAAGGGGAAGGGGGGAGAGATTTGGACATAAAATTAGTAGAAATGTTTATCCATTTCACATAATATTTAAAGACTTGAAGCATAGTGTAGATTTGGTAAAAGCAAAGGATCCCTTTCCACGCCTTTCAGGCATATTAGGTATTATACAGGGCTAGACCTATATTTTATAGACCACGGCATCACACCGGCTGCCATTACTTCCCAGGACTGTACCTCGTACCCACTCAGGGCTGGGTCAACCTGGGAGCCAAAGATATAGTTCTTTTTAAAAAAAGTCTGGCCCCTGACAGAATCCAAACTCACGACCTTTTGATCCGCTGGTGAGTGTCTAGCCGCTAGACCACAGCGGCTCCCAGTGCATATTTGGTGCATACATAAAAAGAGGTAAGTGACAGACATAAAACTGAATACATGGAAATATTTCCTATTTCATAAGAGAAAAAAACCAGACCAGATCCCATGATGATGATTATCTTTTAAAAGCAAAAGGCATGGTACATTTTTTTTAAAAGAATAATTTACATACTATAAACTATGACATGTTAAGATCTCTATGCCCTCATTGGGTAGACCCAGGTTCAAATCCACAGCAGGATGATGAGTGTTTCTGTTTGGGGCCCCAAAAAAATAACCTGCATAGTCCATGACAACCGCACTAGCCACGCCAACCTAAATCATCAGGTTCAACCCCCCTCCCTCTTTTTACACCAATCTTTAAAAAGAGGATGGTAAATAAAGACAATAAAACTAGGACATAATGTCCTCCTGCACAAATGAAATAAAGTAACTCCCAATAAGCCCATGCAAAATTTCAAGCAAGCTTAAAATCTAATCTTAAATGGTCAATAATGAATCAAAATCAACATCAGACCATTACAGGCATTGCTTATGTTAAATAAACAACAACAAAAACAATAAAAGAATGACGAAGTGAAACTTAGGCATAATAGTTAATACAGACATAAACGATTACACATACCTTCAGAAGTATATTTTGTTAGGACAAAGACCAAATACTTGTTGAAATCAGGGTAGCTATTCAGCTCACTCAATTTCTGCAAATGTACAAAATAATATGCAGCTATGAACTATTCAATAATATTTTTGGGCGCACACTTACATTTATTAAACTATGAGACACACTGTAACTGACTGCCAAAGTGTCTACACACATTTTTTTTTTAAAGTTCTTTTACACTACTTGTCCATGTCAAAATGTACAAGTAAGGTCCCATCTTAGTGTTTATAATAATCACTATTCAATTATATAGGGCTCATGAAGAAAAAACTGATTTGGGAAATATGAATAAATGCTGACATGAACAAAGTGATTCAGGAAAAGGTTTATTTTATGGATGCTTTTTTTTCAATGATTTAACCATTTTTTGTTATAAATTTAAGAAAGATAGAGAGAGAGAGAGAGAGACGAGTCTGGACAACTGCTGATGTCAACAGTTCTGAGTAAGAAGACAAATGCTGGGAACATTCTGAGACAAATCAGACAATCAGAAAACAGACACTGAAATGGGAAACAAACTGATTAAAGAAGCAAGACTGAACAAAAGATGAAGAGGACGAGGATGCTGGATGCGATTCCATACATGATAGTGAGTATTCGACTGTGAGGCCTACATGACGTATAATGGTATAACAAGACTTATTATGAAAAGGATAGAAAGGTGACTGCAGGAGATCCCCTCCCTGGCACAACGCTCATTCCCTGTCCTCCCTGTCCAAAAACTTTTCGGGCCTGCATCGGCCCCATCAGTCATCTTCGTGCTCATACCGGATGAAAAAGAGTGGTCATCATCATCTTAATGGACAACACACACATAACATGATGGTAGTGAATTTTGCATTATATAAACAATCCCTATAAACTTCATGGTGTTATGATGGAGAATGTTTACAATCAAAGACCTAACAAACTAAAACCTGTGCAGAAAACACTTACAAACTGGACAACTTCTACAAGAAATCGCTAATATAAAACTGGAGATTTAAGGATTTTAAACTGGAACCCACAGGGGTAATATACAAATAAAGGCCCAACAAGTAATATAAATAACACAAGAAGAAGGGAGCTAAAGATGGGGAGAACATGCTGTGAGCTGCAGACTTTAGCAAAGGATGAGAGATAACTGCGTTGTGAGTTGGCTGGGGGCCAATGCTCCAGTGGAGGATAAAAGACAGAACCAACAAACGTTTACTAATAACCCACAGGCTGAGGTGAGGCTGTTTTAAATACACTGATCCGCCTTGTTTGTTTTGCCAGACTGATTCATCTTGGTTTTAATTATTCTCACACACTGTAACTGTAACAATTCAAAGTAGCTTATTTTAATTATAAATGAAGATAGGGACCATTCTTGATCCATTATTATAAGGAAAACCAATTATAAACTATCTTCAAATCAAATTGTTGACAAGAAAATAAAATGTATGTATGGTTAATAAAGATGTTAATGACATGTTTACTAAATAAATGAAAAACAAAAAAAAAAACAAATATGACTTCAGAATGTTTGTGTTTCAAAATTAGGCATCATACCCATGATGCCCCATTATTCATTATTTAATAAATTAAACCAATTATACAATAATCATGACAATCTCCTAAATCGCCTCAAAAACTCAGTATGGAAGTAATGCATACTCAGTATGGACATGTTTTCCACGGAAAGTTATGGGCATATTATCTGTGAAAGTAAAAATGTATAGCGAACCGTTGTACGAAGATCATTATTTTCTGTGTAATAACAGACACAATTCTGTACAATACGCCATTCTATTGTTATCTCATAATGTTTTTACACACTCACGATAAAGTCAAAACATTACTGATTTACTCTACTTGCCGCCGTCGGAGTTTCGTCGTTCTCACTAAACTCACTTCTCTAAAAAAAAAAAAAAAAATTTTTATGAAAATCGAAATCCTGCAATTCGGGAATATTTCAGCAGTCAATCACCATTCTCTGTTTTTTAAACTCAATAGGTTACCTGTTGTACTCTTCTCTGAGCTTCTGGGTTATGAAACTGTGAATCTTTCAGTAATTCTAAAATCTGTCGAAGACCGTTTTCTTCAGGCTGCCACATCGCCATCTTGGAAATTTGTGGGTTGTGGAAACAAATGTAGACCGGATATTACATCTCGTGATGCTATATTTAGCGATGACCTAATTATATCCACAACGTCATTAAAAGTGATCACGGCAATCTCTGTAAAATATTCCAAAAAGTCATCATCATCATCGTTCCACTACTGTCGTAAAGGATTATTGGGAGCAACAGTTTGCGATCCATTGCTGGTGGGCAGCATTTGCTATTGTCATTCAGTGTCGTTGTAGAAGCTATATAATCTTCTCATAGGGCGCCCTCTTGATTTCATTTTAGATCTCTTCATGTGTGTCGCCTGGGTTGGTAGCTGTTCTGGCTGCATTCTTGCTAAATGACAAAACTTTTTGACCCTCTGTCTCTCAATGAATGTGCTGCATTCCTACAGTATGTCTGCTAAAACAAATTATAACTTTGTCTCGGATGGTTAAGCTAGAGGGCTTTTCCCAGACATCTTATTTCACAGGTGTTAATTTTTCGTAGTTTGGCCTTAAGTTAATTAGTTAATAGAAAGATTATCCGCATTGCACATCGTACTACAAGTCCATAAGCGCTAGGATCCCATTTTCATTATATCCCCCAGCGTATAGCAACCGATAACACATGTTATGTTTTGGTTTACTATTCTTGTTTGGCTACCTGTATAGTGTTCATGTTCGACAGCACCTCTTTTGTCTGACGTTCTTGTTGTCTTTTGAGTGTTGTCGATTCTTCGTTGTCTCGTGAACCATCTTCTCCTTGATAGCACTGAGAATGTCGGCCCAGTCTATTGCTTGTCCTGTACCTACCGTGGCCCTGCCCGCAAGCTAACCCGCTCGTTCATACCCTCTTTCCCCCAGAGTATCTTGGCACACAAATTTAACTTTTTCCTATCAGACGAGACTTCCTCAGCGACTCTAACCATTTTTTTTTTCAAATCCATCCTGTCTCTAGCTTCTTAAGCATACTCCTATGGAATGGTGGTGGCACGTGTATAACTAGCAAGACTGGCTTGTATTTACAAAAGTCTCTCCGCCGTCTATCTGCCTACTCATTTCCCAACACACCGGCATACCTAGAGAAAATTTCCAAAGGATGGTAACTACACGGGACTTCTGAATTGATGCTTGCCACTCTGCACGGAGCATGCCTGCATCTTTCTCAAACATGCTCTGTGAGTCATTTACAATCACGGCATGTGTGTACAGCTGATTCTCAAGCCAGCGGAAGGCAGCAGTGACTGTCTTCCCCTCCATTCTCAAAAAAGACGTTGTGATATAATATGCAAGGCTTTGTTGCACTTAGCCACGTCGATTCGCCTTTGCTATGAAACCCCCCCCCCCCCTCCTCACCATCTGTATAGATAATCACATCACTTAGGAGGGAATTGCCAAGAATAATTTTTTGAACTCATTCTGCAGCACAAGCTGGCCAGTCCCTGCACTCACGACCTGAGGTAATTAGAACCCTACGTAAGTCTAAAACTTGCTCGTACATTTTGACCCACTCTTCCCCTCGCCCAAATTTATCAAGCCTGCACACATGTCCAATTGTGTCTTCTGCTTGCGCCATTCAAGACCTTCCTCTTTTCAGTCTGTGACCCTTAGTCCTACCTAGGGCTTTATGCAGGAGGTGCTTCTTGTCTGCTCTAAGATATGACTTTGCTTGCAAAACTTTGAGCCTATCTGCAGTAGTAGGCAGTGCCAGTATATATCGCAGACATACAACCAGGGTATATCTTGTACATCCCAGATTACCCGCAGGGTTTTATTCTGTACGCGTTCAAGTTTTATCAGCTGACTCTTTGAAATGGTACGCATTGCAAGCCCATAAGGCATAATCTATTTATGACATGATCACATGCTAGAAGATTGTGAACAGCATTCTTTGTTCCATGTCCATTGCTGCCATAATCTTGAGAGCATTGTCCTTTTTTGCATTTCACCGTAGCTCTCTCCTCGTGATCCATAAAGAGCAGTCTTCTTGTAAAAAATGATACCCAGGTACCTCGGTTTGCTTTCATTTTTTTTTTTTTTTCCACCTAATGTTCCATAAAATGTTATTTTTTTTTTTTAAGAAAAGAGGGGGTGTGACGAAATTGCTTAACATGGTCTCCACGCTTACAGTAAGTCGCACACAGAAAATCCGTGCGATAAAGGAACGCACGAAATACTTGGGGCTGGAAAAGTAAACCGTTTACCTTTCCAGCCCCAGGTATTTCGTGCGGTAAACAAAGGAAATCCCGAGGTTGACCCGTGGTCAGCTGTGCACCATGGTTGGAAGAAGAGAGTCGTGATGTAGTTTGAATGAAGTGTAGTCAGCGTTGAGTGAACGATTATTGTCGCATAATTGTGGAAGTGAACAGCGATGACTGTGGTTGAGTAATTGTGATGGAATAGGAGAAATTAAGGCTATCCTCCAAATAACGGTCCTAAATTATCCCGCCAAAAATATACTTTAACAGGGCCTCAGTCACGTGTCAGATGCGCACTTCCGGGGACTATAACGCCATGGACGAATTGCGTACTTCCGGCGAGGATTTGCCCAGACGCCGCTCACACAGCGTAGATTGGGGCTAAACTAGATGGCTAGGACTCACGAGCAAATAAAATAATGAAAGCTGCAGAAGATGTGGTAGCTGCTGCTATGAGTCCCAGCCATCTAGTTTAGCCCCAATCTACGCTGCGTGAGCAGAGTTTAGGATCTCACGTCGGTGGCGGAAGTGCGCAATTTAAGATGACGGATATGCGAAATTGACACGTGACTGAGGCCCTGTTAGGGTATATTTTCCGCCTCCATAATTTAGGACCGTAATTCGGAGGATAGCCGAAATTAACTGGCAGAATCTATACTGGAATTTGAGCTGTTTCAGTGTTGTCAATTGTGGAAAGTTTTATGTGTTCGCTAGTGAGCCAGTAGACACCTGAAACTTAGTTCCTCACTGACTGTCCCGCATTCTCCAGTCCAAGATAAGTTTTTTTTTTTTTGGGGGGGGGGGGGGGGGGGGGGGGGGGGGGGGGGGGGGGGGGGGGGGGGGGGGGGGGGGGGGGTGGGGGAGGCTTTCATGATGAGTTTCTTAGGACAGTAATGTTGTAGCTTTCCCTTGCTTTCTGCGTGGCTTCACACAATGTCCTCAACTTTTCATTTGAAAAAAAAAAAAAAACTTTGTCTTTCCAGATAACAGTATTATTTGTTATCACAATCTGATGCAGCAGCCGCTCCAAGGTACCTCTACTGATTGTTCCCATGCGGAATTGGTTAAAGTATCTCCTGTCTTTACCTCGAAGATGACATAGACTTGCTTCGCCAAGCTTAACTCCTCAGTCATGCAGTGGTTTTGTCTGTGCCACAGAGATCACTGCCATGGCAAGGTCAGTATGACTAGCAAGACCTGCTCATGATTTCTAAGACCAATTTTTTCTTCTGATAGTCCATGCCGTGTGTCACTGGTAGTCATGTCTATCCACAACCTTCTGTACTTTCAATCAACTCTGACACAGATGGTCCTTCATGACCTGATGTCAAACCATCCAGCATTTTTTTTCTCTCGATCTCCCTCTGCCTTTTCTCCCCTCCAACTTTCCTATTGCCGTGATGTACTCCAGTTTTATCCTTATCACATGATGAAAGGATTGTCTCCCTCCAATGTGGACAATCAGTTCTCTGCATGAATCAGTTTCCTTTAAGACATCATCTTTACTCTTTATCTGTCCCGGCCGGCGTAATGCTGACCATATTACCCACCGAGTGCCGATTGGTCTGTAAAATATGGGTGCTCTTCCCATATGCCCGATGCGCCTAAAGGCGTGTAAAGGGATCTTTACTTACTTTACTTTATCTGTCCAGGGTATTCTCATCATTCGTCTATAAAACCACATCACAGCTTCCAAAGAATTTTTGACTAACCTACCAACTGTCCATGATTCAATGCCATATAGCAGGATAGGATTTATACAGCTCATAAGAATTCTCTTTCTCATCTCAGCTGACAAAGAAAGATTGCACGAAATATTCTTCAAGACCAATTAAGGCCAGAAAACAAACAAGTTCTTCCTCTCCACAGCACAAAGCCTGGGCAGTATTGCAGAGACCATGTGTTGTCCATGCAGCAGGATCTCTCTGTGAGTTGACATCACAGCACTCAGGGTATTCCCATGTGTGCTCCGTCCTCATCTTCAGCAGCCAGCGCAGAGTTCCAATACTGATTGTACCTCCGAGTATAGTAAGCCGGCCAGACCCTCTGTTTACATTACACCCAGGTACCATGATCCCTATGTCTTTGGTAACCTTTCAGTTTGCCAGGGCCGGGGATTTTCCTGCTCTATAATAATAACAGAGGGCACACCAGATGTGTTTATTTGTCCCGACTGACACTCGATCCCCACAGTCGCACTGGCCACCCTTCAGTATTTTACCATCCTCTACCAGGTTACTAAGAAAACAAGCACAAAAACAATGACTATTTGCAGACTTTTTTAATTCTTGACACATTCGGGTTTTTTTTGGTTTCCAACAAGAACTTTTTTTTGCAACAGTTACCATCAAGCAAAAATAAAACAAAGATTGTTACAATAAATGATACAGATTTGAAAAAAAAAATATTAAACACTTTAAAAGAAATAAAGTTCAAATTAATGTTATGGCCTGCACAGAAGATACAATTACAGATAATGAATGTAATGTGAAACATAATAATTTTAGAATTAACAACAGATCAGAAGAAAGATACTGACTGGTTAATTGTGTATTTTAGAAGATCGCTACCCTTATTGTAAAAAACAAAATGTCATGTTTAATTTGAGAGCAAAACTTTATGTATACAAATATCAACAGCATCTGACAACAAGTATATTGAATGGTCAACAATTGCCTGTGCTTCATGTATGCAGCTGCACATTTATCCTTTTTCATTTTATTTTTTAACTTTACTTAGTTCTTTGACAATTGTTTTGTGCTGGCACATATGCAGCTGCAGATTCAACCAGCCATTTCGACTTTTACTTATTGTTCTTTTACATATTTTTCATGCTGCATCCACACAGCTGCAGAATCATGCTATTTTTGACTTATTTGTTGTTTTTTTCATTGTAAAAGTGTTAATTAACTCAGTAACTTAAATGGTTACTGTAATCTCTAATCAACTGTTTCATACAAGCCTATATAACACATTGTAATATGTATACTATATAATATATATGTATATTATATATATATAATATATTATATATATATATATATATAGAATATATATATATCTATATATATATATATATAATACATATATATATATATATAATATGAAAAGTAAGCCCTTGTGCATTTTTTAAAGCAAAAATTTATATAAAACCTGGTTTTATATTCAAGGAAACATGGCATCTATACTAAAGAAATGTACAAATTGTTTCAAAATAATAAGAGCTGAAAGAACAATCTTTATATTACTAAAAAGTCATGCATGAATTATCTCAGATACATAATTCTGGTTTCTGAATGTTTTCAAATCGATGCAAACAATGAAGAGATGATCAGTTTTGTTTGATTCAAACTCAGTAGATATGAGCTACAAAAAATGTGTTACATACCACACCAGGACAATTTCAAGTAGACAACACCATTTATTCAACAACAACGACATACAATCAGCTGGATAAAATGCATTTAGTTGCCAATTCTGTAGAAGACGCTACCAGGCAATATCTTTCTGTTTGCGGTTTTCCTAGGCAAATTTTACATTCAGCAGTTTACCACTGCTTCCTCTCGATCAATATCAAAATCAATGCAAAGCAGTTACCCTGTGTGGGTTCCTGGGACCCATTGTGAGGAAAAACAAGAATAGACCCACTGCCTCCCCCCCCCCCCCCAAAAGCATGTCATAAGAGGCGACTAAATAGGGAGCTTCTTTTGAAGTCGAAGTGCACCTGCCCAAGCGGCAAGAAACCAGCAGACTGCATATTAATAAGCCTGATCTGTAAAACGGATGCACACGCAAAATTCTGGTGCTGGAACAAAGCCGAAGTCCAGAAATGGATGATCAACTAGGTCTTTCCGCCGGAGTTGACAGCCAGTTAAACACAAAGAAACAACAATGCAAAGCGGTCTACTGTCAAACTACCCACAGCTGGGATCAAACTGGTTATCGTGGAATTGTTAGAAACCCCTAAGCCATGGATATAAATAAAATGCATTTACAATTTCTAAATGCATTACATGCATTCTTATTTAAAAAGAAAGGAAAAAAAAACACCCACAAACCACAAACAAGAAGATAAACATTTTGACACTAATATGCAATATGTGAGTTTTTTTTAAATTACTGTGTGTTTGTATGTATATGTGCAAGTTTGTGTATGTACGTAAGCACATGTTTGTGTATGTTCACTGTGTATCTACATACATGAGTATTTGTTTTTACCCGTGTAGGTAAGTTTATAGATGTGAATGTACATATCCTCAGTGTGGCTTCCAGAGCCCTATTTGGGCAGGGTGGAGGGAAGACCCGCTGCCGCCCTCCCCAACCCCGCAACAAGCATGTCATAACAGGCAACTAATTAAGGGTGATTTCTTCTAAAGTTTTGTGTGCATGTGTTGTATTGATACTATGTTTAATACTAAATAAACTTTTAGTGCATAATATGTAAATTATAATTACTGTGAGAAAGATGAATGGTAGAAGGGGCCGAATATACAGTGTGCCTGGTTTGTGACCCTCTGAAAATAAAGTTAGTTCACTCCAACTGGATACAGGGAGATTTAAAAGGACCCTTTTCCACGCCTTTAGGCGTATTGGGCAAATAGGCTAGACCTATTTTTTACAGACCAATCTGCACTGGGTGAGTGATGTGGTCAGCATCACACAGGCCAACTCAACTTCCCAGGACTGTACCTGGTACCCACTCAAGGCTGGTTCGACCTGACAGCCAAAATCATTTTCTGAAAAAAAAGTCAGGTCCCTCCAGGACTTGAACCCACCACCTTTCGATCTGCACGCGAGGTCTAGCACGATGGCTCTCAGATGTTTAAAAAAAATCTCTAAAAAAATAATAACAATGTAGGTCTTGATGAGTCAGCCTAATGTCATCAAATGATAGTCAAGCATTTCAGACAGTATGTAAGTATGAGAATATAGCTGTATGTTAGTATGAGGATACAGCTGAAATCAGAATAGCAGAGAGAAAAAATATCCAACACCAGACAAACATACACAATAACATATAACTGAGACTATTACAGCAGCATCTAAATAAGACTAAATTATGATAGAAAGAGAACTCTCAAAACACTAGCATATATTACAAAAACTGCTGATGTAAAAAGACATGAAGTTACTGTGTTACAGCTCAAGAAATAACTATCAAACAGGTTGTTTTAAACATTACACATTCATAACCTTAACGCCACGTGAGATATTCAGAATGTAACATTGATGATAAAGTAAGTATACTGTTTGTATATGAGTGGCTAAGGCGTTGCGAGTCTGACACGTAATCCAACGTACCGCGATCGAAACCTGCGTTGGCTGAGTGGATTTTTATCGTGGTATGGGACGTCGCAGGTCAACCCAGCCTCAAATGGGTATAGGATGGGCTGTCCTGGGAAAGTAAAGACGGCTGGCGTTATGCTGACAACATTATCCACCGAGTGCCGATTGGCCTGTAAAATATGGGTGCTCTTCCCATTTGCCCGATGCGCCTAATGGCGTGTAAAGGGATCTTTACTTTACTTACTTATATGAGTCAGGAGACAATTCAAGGATATGTGGAAAGTGAACACTCATCAATGAATATGTGTCTAGATCAGCATTGGGATTACTTTTCATTTTGCCAGGGCCATGTGAATGTCAAATTCTGACATCATTCACAAGCTACACAAAATTGTCAATGAAAAATTAAGCTGATATATTTGGTCAAATATTTAAATATGGCTGACTAGGCGTTCCCTAGAGCCTTATACAGCCTGTGGCTGATCTAATCTCCTGATCTAAACTTTCACAAAGAAATTCAAGATGTTGCACATTATAATGGGTAGCTGGCCAGGTCTTAACAAAAAACATCCACACAGAAAATATGTGGTTAACACTAGAATGAATTTTACTACAAAATACATGAGAAGTGAATGTAGCTATGAACCCATTCTTGTGTGCATATGCCACTTTTTCAAGATCACTGAAATACCGTGTTTTAACTGTGGAAGACTTCTTAACATCGCCATGGGCTGTTTCTCCCATGCCTGCCTGTAGCACAGTATAGCACTGTTGTGTGGAAATACAGAAAGGTGTCGACACACATATCCAGTATGCATTTCTGATATTCCGCCTTCATGCAGCATGGAACGTATGCCAATAATGTATCTGTTAATCCCCCCCCCCCCGAATCTTTCACAGGTGTATGACAGTGAACATATGCAGTCGATGACTACATGCTGTTGTGCAATTAAATGTTTAACAGATAAGGAAACAGACAACAATTAATCAATACATTAATCTCAATGTAAGGGAAGAGAAATCAAAATAAGCAGCACAATAAGTAACTCAATCGTACTCAATCGGCTTGTGTGTGTGTGTGCATCATCATCATCAAGTGCTTTGCCAGCTGGCATAGGCGTTTATGCATCACCACAGATTTCGGTCTTTGGTGTTCTGGATCAATTCATCCTATGATATTCCTCCACACCACCGTCTAAAGCCATCCACCATAATTTCTCCTGGTTTTCCTCTGCCTCTTTTACCAGTGATCTTTCCAGTTGTCAGGACATTTTCCAGTGCTCCTCTTCTCATAATATGACCAAATAACTTTGGTTTGTCTGCTTCTCATTGTTGTATAAAATATTCTACTTTCATTCAATTATTGTTAGTTATTCTGGCAGTCCAAGGAATTCGCAACATTCTTCTCAAGAACCACATCTCAACTCTTCTTTGTCTGCTCACATTCCAAGATTCACTACCATACAACAGGACAGGCTGGATGTAACATTTCAGTACTCGATTTCTGATGTTTAACGATCATGATTGTGTGGGTGCATGCACGTGTAATATCATCTACAATCTCTGAATAAGTTAAAATAATAATGCTTTTGAAATCAAGAACCCTTTTTTTTTTTTTTTTTACACCACTGGTGTATCAGGTATATGGTGCCAGAACCACACTTTTACAGACCATTTGGCACTTGACGGGTGATGTGATCAATCTCATATAGGCTGCCTTAACTTCCCATAATATTTCTGGGTCCCTATTTTAAGCTGGAACCACCTGAGAGCTCTAGATCAATTAAGAAATCCAACTTAAGGCGGAAGATATGGTCAATGTTACATCGGCCACTTTTAATTCTCATGATATTTCTGGGTCCCTATTTTAAGCTGAGACCACCTGGGAGATGTAGATCAATTAAGAAATCCAACTTAAGGCGGAAGATATGGTCAATGTTACATCGGCCACTTTTAATTCTCATGATATTTCTGGGTCCCTATTTTAGGCTGGGACCACCTGGGAGATGTAGATCAATTAAGAAATCCAACTTAAGGCGGACGATATGGTCAATGTCACATCGGCCACTTATAATCCCATGATATTCTGGTCCCTATTTTAGGCTGGGTCCACCTGGGAGCTCTAGATCATTTATGAACTTCAACTTAATGCGGAAATGAAACACGCCCTGGGAGCAGCAGGCAAGCGTTGGCAACTCCTAAAAATGCCTTTTCATACAAGTAATTTTAACTCATCCGAACTGAAGACAACAATGTAATATTCTCCTTCATTAGGTTAAAAAAAAAGGAAACAAAAGAAAAGAAAGAAAAAAGAAAGAAAGAACATGATGACACCAGCTTCAACTGGGACATAAACAGAGTTACTATATCTTACAACAGGCAGTGGTTAAATACATCTGTCGACCTAGGAGTTTATAATCTTGGTGAGAATTACTATCATTTAGTCTTGTCTGACTCCACTGTCTCCTTTGCTGGGCTGGGTGTCTCAGAATGGTCCTCATATCTGCGAACACAGAGCACAATTCATTGTCAAAATCGACACCATTAATACAGAGAGAGGTGTATCAGTGTAGACTCTGGAGCCCAGTTGGGGGTGGAGGGATTGAGAGATTTGCTCCCCCTCAACAAGCATGTCATAATAAAATGGCTAATTAAAAGTTTGCTTAAACTGGAGATGTTGGTCTGACAGGCACACATACCCCAGTCTAGCTGTAAACCACAGTGCAATGTGCCAGCCAGTTTTTAACCCTTCCACCCCTGGAACATTATTTACAAAAATGGTTCATGAATACGTGGGAATCCCCCAAAAACTCTTTATTTTTTTTTTACATAGGTCACTAATACATTTTTTCCTAAAAATGTAATTACTTGCCTTTTAACAATTTGTTTTTGACATATTTAAAGATTAAATAAAAATTTTTTAAAATGAGTAATTAATAAACAGGATCACAGTGAAGCAAAAAATGGAATACATTTCCCAGATACTATAATACACGCACACACACGAGGTGACTCATGCCGTGACCTCATGACATCTATCACTGAGGCTATGGGCAATTTTTACGCAATGATGCCATTTAAAAAATGGTTACCTGGTTAACAGCCCTTCAAATGCTACTTTAAATAAACATATTCATATCCTTGATCTACCGGCGACTGGCTCGAAAATACAGATCGGAAGATCATGGGTTCAGGTACTGACAAGGCTGGAGATTTTTCAAAAATGACGTTGGCTTCCAGCTATGAGTAGGTACCAGATATAGTCCTGGGAAGTAAAGGTGGCCGGTGTGACCACACCACCCACCAAGTGCTGACTGGTATATACAATATAGGTCTATATGCCTGAAGGCGTGGAAAAAGGTTCTTTACTTTTCATATCCAGGCCTCATAAACACTGTACAGGCACAAACAAAACCAATAGTATTTAACTACGCTTTTAAAAACATCTCACTGCAGAAATGCAGATACATCAGCACTATTGGGGTTTGTGTCACAGCCAGGAGTAACTAGATTTAGGCTATTCAGAGTAAGAGGGATAAAGGCCGATAGCGGAAGAAAGCGGATAGGATCTATTTCATAGTACCAGCTCTGATCCCACATGGCTAATCTTGTCTCTGCAGAGCTTTCTTTTTTCAGCTTAAATGATTTAAAACTTGGCATAAACCTATTTAAATATGGGCCATAAACAGAGCTGTGTATTTGAGGCCTTCACTGCTACCACATAGTTTGTCTTGAAGGCTTGCTTCTGTGGCCAGAGATCTTCTCTTTAGCTGGTGGGGTTTGGAAAATCATATAAGACACTTTCTGCAGACTGTCTGCCCATGTAGAGTGCCATACAAAAGCATAAGCCCATTAGCTGAAGCAGTAACCACCCCAGGGATCTACTCTCAAACACTAAATTGCACTTACAAACAGAACAACATCTTTCAGAAACAAATCCACAATCTTCAGAGTGCAAGGCAAACAGGTTGACCATACATGAAACCCTCCCTTCCTTCCAACATACATCATAATGACCATTGAGAAATATATGAAAACATCACACCAGACACCTTAGTGGCAGGGCATTTTCTGGGGTTTTTTTTTCAGGTCAAGGTGACAGCCACTAGGAAATGTGTGGCAAACATCACATTAGTTACATTTACTGCCAGGACATTTTCTGATACTTATTTCAGCCCCACCCCTTTTCCACACATTTTTTTTGAGGATCTGAACCAGTGATCACTGGACTGGTAACCAAAACATAAAAACGATGCATTATAAAGCCAAAATAAAAAAATCCAAACACTTTCACCGACAATTTTAACATACAGACTTTGCTACAAGCAGACTGTGACTGTACTTACTCAAACATAGCTTTAACATCTCCTTTCAGTGTAGCTAGCAGGGTAGGCAGTCCTAGACACGAAGGTACTAAGTACAGCAAAGCTGGCTGTAAAGTGAGGAAGTGTGATGTACAAAAAGAAGATTAACTCATTATAGACTTACATAATAATGATTCATCAAAAGGTATACAATATTTACCTCATTATTCATTTGGGTTATCTGTAAATGTTAACCTAAAAATGGTTTTAGAAAAAAAAGGGCGGGGAGGACATTTGTGAAACCTTTTAATTACTACATGTTTTTTGTTCTTTTCTTTATCCATCTATCTCACTGAAGTTTTAATGAGATATGGGATTCTCCTCTGTGTGTGTGTGTTTTAACACCCTCACCCACAACCACGCCTCATACTAAAAGACTGACACCTAGTGACCAACGGAGGACACTCATAACCATTCACCTTGAAATCCTGAGTATGGCAGGGCTGCGTCCTGTCTTCCCTTAGATTCATAACTTACATTGATAACATCTGTAAAGAAACCAGCCAAACAAGGACTATAATATGCCAAGGAGCTGAAGATCCAAAAGCCACAGTTTCAAGAAAGAATTACCATTTGCAGATGACCAAGCACTAATTGCATTTTCAATAATGGCCTTGGTACCAGGTCGACCCAGCTTTAAATGGGTACCAGATAAAGTCTTGGGAAGTAAAGGTGGCCGACATGATGTTGAACACATCACCCACGGAGTGCCAATTGCTCCATAAAATATATATCGCTATATACCCAATATGCCTGAAAGCATGGAAAAGGATCCTTTACCTATTACAGACAGAAGCATCTTTCCACATGAAAGAATACTTAAAGCAACAATAGGATCACCAGACCACAGCACAATCAGTGAAACTAAGCTACTAAACATGGCACAAAGAAAAAAGAATTACAAAAAAAAATCTGCTGTTATCAGGGTACCCAAATACTTAAACGTATCAACTGGCTCGAGCATTCTTCCATTCACTTTGATGTTACAATTTGGAGGGTCTATTTTCTTTGTAATGACTATTACTTCTATTTTTCTGCTGCTCAAACTAAAACCCTTGTTTTGAGTTGCTGTTATAATTATGTCTATCATTAGTTCAGTTGTGTTTGAATGTTTTGTCTTTTCTCGAAAATTGAATCTAATCAAGCTGTTAGACCCATGTAGGTTCTGGGGCAACACTGTAGGAAAACCCAAAAAACAGACCTACTTTTCCCTAAAAAAGCATGCCGTATACTAATTAGGAATGTTTCCTTCAAAGACAGAGTGATATGCCTGAGAGATGAGGAACCAACAGTCTGCATACAAATAAGCCAGACCTGTAAAATAGTTATGTAAATATTACTCAGGTTCTGCGACAAGAATAAAATCCAGAACTAGGCGAACAACCAGAAGTTTTCATCAAAGTTTATAGCCAGTGAGTATAAAGAAGAAGAAAATAGACTAAAGAACTCCCTGAATCTTTAATTCAAATAACTACATAAATTTTTACAATGTCACCAAGCAAGTCTTACCTGAGCATGTTTAAAGAAATGCAAAATGAACATAGTTGCTCCCAAACCAAGACAGTATGCCACAAACCCAGCATAAAAATAGAAGGTGCTCCTTCTTTGCAAGCTGAAACAAAATAGCAAAACTATCATATCAAGCATCAATGTAAGTAGCAAAACTATCATAGCAATCACCAATATAAGTAGCAAAACTATCTTAGCAATCATCAATATAAGTAAGTATGCATTCCAGCTAACATTAAATTCTACTGTTTACAGCAGCTGTTAATGCAAATGGTCTATAGGTATATTTATAAAATAATCCTCGGATCATTATCATTATTTGCTAGTGTGAATATTATCATATCTACGCATGTACAGGCGGCAGTGTTGTAACCGAAAATCGTTGACAAAAAACAGGGTGCAGCTTATATTTGAGATATTAGGCCTATATGTCACTTGTACAGTTTATTAATAATGGAAGTTTTTCTGCATTTTCAAATAAACCCATGATGTAGTTGTGTGTCTTCAGTAACTCCAGAATATGTCTTTGAAACTAAACAGTTTTTCTTTGTAGGTGTCAGGAAGTCTCTGCTCCATTTTTATCAGCCACCGAATCACGAGGTCAATTATTTGCCATAAAGTGCCTTGCGCCTTAACTGGCTTTAAAGTCACTTGCACACAAAGCTGTACATGCAGCTAAAATTTAAACTGTAGCTAGCTTTACGCTACCCACCTGTCACTGCTTACAGGTACTACTGTTTTAATATTGTCTCTTGACAAAAATCTCAGGAAATTAATTTTTCTAAAACTATTGTCTCAGAAATCGGGTGTGGCCTATACACATGTAAATACAGAAATAATTTAAATTCTTGGAAATAAAAGAGCTGATAAACTACCCAAGGAAGGTGCAAATGAAGAAGAACCTGACGTACCAGTCTCTTATATACAGAAGAAGAAGAAAATCAAATCAACCAGAAAGCCACCAAAACCGGCACAAGACAATTACCATTTCATGGACAGACCAGAGCAAGTTATTATTCTATGCCTTAGAACAGGACACAATTGATTTTGCAGCCACATGTACACAAAATTTAAAATCGGCGAATCAGACATGTGCACATGTGGACTGGCACATGAGACAACAGATCATGTCAACAGAACAATCAACAGCATTAATATAGCAAACAAAATACCTCAGATCAAAGCGTAGCAGCAGTGCAATGAAAATGCCTGGAATGACAATGTCCCCCAGACCTAACATTGCAAAGTTTTTGGCAGCCAGTCCATTTTCTAGGATGTCTTGTGGAAATACCACTGGAAAAAAAATATATATACAAACATCCAAAACAGGTTCACATTTAAGTTGCCGCTATCTCCAGCTAGACCATAAACTAAGGCATTACCAAAGTGAAGAAGATGAGATGTCTGGCACGCTACTGTGGATATAAAATAACAATAAATGTTTGTTTTCACCATGTAGGCTGGTGAGGTGCAACCACTGCTGTCTTTTGGAATAAATGTGACTTAGAAAGCTAACGAAATTCTGATAAATACTTTAACAATAGCAGAATGTTAAGAGTATAAACAACTACAGTGGCCAGTTGCACTCTCCTGTCCTTTGGCAGAGTGAAAGGTTACCCTACCAGTACATCTTCAGGACTAACTCTTCTCTTCTTTTGTTGTTACTGCTGCTTCCATTGATGCTGTGAACTGCACTTCTAGTGTTAGGCTGTTTGTGTTGTTACTGCTACTTCCATTGATGCTGTGAACTGCACTTCTAGTGTTCGGCTGTTTGTGTTGTTACTGCTGCTTCCATTGATGCTGTGAACTGCACTTCTAGTGTTGAGCTGTTTATGTTTGCACTTGCTGACTGCTGCATTATGCAAATAATGCGGGTGTATGCCAAGACTGCAGTCTTTTTTTTTTTCCCAAAAATGTTTTGTTTGTTCACAAGGGATACTGACGGACATTCTGAGCGGTTTTTGTTGGCAAAAGAACAGAACAACTATGGGCTGACCCGTTTGCTATGCAGTTGCAACTGCAAATATCTGATTCTTCCCATGTAAAATTTCAACTTCACCACATTTTTTTCACCAATCAGCTAGCTGTCCATGATTTACTTCTATTTATCAGGATAGGATTTATTTAGCTCTTGAGAATTTTTTCTTGCCTCAACTGACAAAGAAAGACTGCACAGAATATTCTTCACTTTGTGAAATTGCTGTTTTTGTTTAAGCTATTCTACATTCAACTTCTTTATATATCTTCCATCTGCTGTTATCAGGGTATCCAAATATTTAAATGTCTTCTTTCTTTGTAAAGACCATTACTTGTTTTTCTGCTGCTCAAACTAAAACCCTTGTTTTGAGTTTCTGTTATAATTATGTCCATCATTTCTTGCTTTTGTGTTTCAATTTCAGTGATCAAAATCATATCATCAGCATATTGCACATTATTCACATAATGCCCACCAACCAATATTCCTGGCATACCTTATATGGATCTCAATATTATTTCAATGTACAAATTTATCAATTTGGTGATAGTATATCTATCACTATGTCTAATTGTAATATGCTCTGCTAGGGGCATGTGTTAATTTGCATTGCTTTCAGACGAACAGTGAGTTGAAACGACACAGCATGAACGAATACTGAGTTGCTTGCTTTTATTCGTTGAATCGCCAGTTATCGCATACATACATTCTCGCTTCCTTGTGCTCGTCTTGGCTGAATCTAGCGACCTGGTCGGACTTCTCACACACTACAGGAATTCATCAGCGTCTCTCGAACCATCCATCTATCCTTCACGAACCCTGGTACCTGACATTCCGACGTGTGGAAAAACATTCAGTCCTCCTATTGAAATATAACACTCGCTTCACAATTCATTTATTCTTCTCAGGCGTCCGCTCATGCAACCTCTCTCAGTCAGGGCAGAACTTCAACTGTCTTACTCCTGTCTCTGGGTTCACATCTCATGCTTTTCTTGTGTCCCTCACTTTGTTCACCATGAGATACACGAGACACACTTATCCCGTTTTTCTCTTCTCTCAGGGGTCCTCCGACCTTTTCCTCCCCATTGGGAACTCTCTGGGATTTCCCAGGGAATTCACAACATTACACTAATGTTTTGAAAAGTTCCCACTTGGGTCAATTCAGTTGAAACATATGGTAGGTAAAGTGAAGATGGCCAGGACAACACTGACAAATGGTCCCAGAGTTTTCAGATGATAAGGCCACAGGCCTCAGATGCACATTCTTCCCTGATCCATTTAGACTGGTTTCTGCCAGAAAGCTGGCTATAAATAGGATCTCCCTACAGCATATAGGATTCTATACAAGGCCGCAGAGTCTTTTGGATCCGGTTCACAATCTAAATTAGGCAGCCTGTCCTACAGTCATCCATGTTTCACGAAAATCATTGGCCTAATTTCACAAGAGCTTTGTAATAATATAAACATTCCCCGTGTGTGTTCCGGGCCCCTATTATAGGGAAAACAAGAATAGACCCACTGTCTACCCAAAAGCATGTCATAAGAGTCGACTATTTGGGAGCTTCCTTCGAAGTTGGAGTGCATCTGCCTGAGGGGCAAGGAACCAACAGCCTGCACACAGATGAGTCAGATCCGTAAAAAGGGTGTGCACACAACACTCAGGTTCTGGAACAGGGCTGCAGTACAGAAGTGGACGAACAGCGAGAACTTTTTGACGGAGTTTACAGCCGGTGAACGCAAAGAAGAAGAAAATAAACATCAAGACACACAACTAGTGTTTAATTCGCAGGGTTCTATATTCACTGTTACTAATTCAAGTAATCCGCAGTTTCAGGTATTCTGCAAAACATTAAGAAAAACGTGCAAAGTTTAAAAAAAAAAAGTTAAAAACACTTACATTTTATCGGTGCCTCAAATGACTTTGCAACAGTTACCATCACATTTGTGCCAAACACCTGTAACAGCATATATGAACAGTATATAACAAATGGCATGAATAAGAAAGACTGGGGGAGAGCAGTAGTTGTGTTTTACTTTTTTCCCCAAAAACATTTTGGAAATATACTATATGACTAAAACAGGGGCTTTTGAGAACATTTTAAAAGATCTGAACACCAAGGAAGATTGGCTAATAAACAGCATCTTGTCTCATAAGCTGAAATCTTTGGTCCTATCAAGCACCATCACAGATTTGAAACCAAAAAATAATAGCAGAAGGCATGGTACCAGGAAGGAGGGGCAGGGGCCGACCAACACGAAGATGGGCACAGGATATAAGTTATTCCTTAAATATAAAAGTACACGAGGCAGGAGAGCTGGCAAGAGACCCAGTTTCTTTCAGGCAGACCGGGATGAGAGCGACGTTCTGCAAAGGACTTGCTACATGATGATGACTATCTGACTAGAGTTAAACAATCTACAAATATACCAGATTACTGCAGCTAACTAATTTGCAAATATACCATATGACCATATGTCAAAATTTGTTGCATATATACCACTTGACTGGAGCTAAACAATTTACACACGTAACATGTGCCTGAAGCCAAACAATTTGAAAATATAACATATGACTAGAACAATTTGCAAATACACTCTATGGACCTCAGTTTAAGCTATAAACAAAACAGAAGTAGATGAATTAGTCATTTCATTCTAAAAGTTTATAACGTTCACTGCAGATTGAGTCCAATGTTAAAACAAATAATTTGCAATTACATTTACAGTGTACAGGTATCTTACATTGTCGCACTGGACGTTGTGCTTGGTTGAAAGTATTATTCCTCTTCTCTTCCATAATGATCTACTAGTTGATAGTAGCCATTTTACAGACCCTGTTTTGGTTACTTTGCACAGTCAGTAATATCAGGCAGACACCCCCCCTCCCCCCCCCCCCCCATCCTTTTAAGTATTTCGATATATATATCTATATATATCTATAATAAGGCGCTAGAACCCACACACAAATATATGCAAAAGTTGAATAACATACCCAGAATATATCATAGATGAAGAGTCCGCCCAGCAGGATGCAACCAGTGCTGACTTTGTTCAAGGACAGCAGCTCGACACCATTGATAGCAAATGCTATACCAAAGAGATTGTTGGCTAACCAATGCTGAAAAAGGAATTATAAACACCTTTAGGCAAATAGTTCATCATAATTTACAAACGGATGGCAAAACTATACAGAAAGTTGCGAAGGAATTAAGTTCTGTGTGATTATTAAGTAAATATGTTGTAAACAAATAAAGATAAATGTACTGCCCTAGAATTAAATAGTATAACAGAATCACAAATGTACAGCTCAGGAAGAAAAAAAAAAACAAATTCTAGTGTATCAAGAGATGAGGAAAAGGAGGAAAAAATGCTTGCTTTGGACAGGACACACAAGAGATAACCTGATAACACAACCAGAACATCTTTTAAAAGAACCCAGAGGACCAAAAGAACACAGACTGACCCAAAAAAAACACAGAGAAGGGAACTAGAAAGGGAAGTTAAAAAAGAGTTGAAGGATATCGGATGAACTGCATGTGACAGCAAAGGATAGGATGGCATGACTTTGTTGAGGGCCTTATGCCCCATTTGATGATAGGGGGCAGATAAGAGAGATGTGTAACGGCCATGTATCATAGGCAGTTAGGTAGGCAATTAATAGGAACACTGCAACCTATCATGCATGTCATAAGAGGCAGCCTGAAAGGGCTGACATGAGATTGGCTACATCATCTCACAGAAACTAACCAAGTTAACAATTTCTATTTAAAAAAAAGCTGGATGTATTGCAGAAAGGCACAAATACCACAGCCATTCTGCAAACAAACAAAAGTATTTACATCACTTGGATGAACAATAAAGAATCCCACAGAAAATTTAGTTCTGCAAAATCCAACCAGCAATAAACTGCAATAAATTGTTTGTCTCAAATTCCCCAAGTGCGTTCTGGATCATATTTTTAGAGGAAACAAAAATAGACCCCTGCCCACCCCCTTCCCCAAAGCACATCATATAAGTCAACTAAGTGGGGGCTTTATTTGAAGTCAGAGTTCATCATGCCTGAGAAATGTGTGCAACAGTGTGCATTCAAATAAACCAGATATGTAAAACGGATGTGCATGTGGCACTTAGGTTTTAGAACAAGACTAAAGTCTAGAGGTGGACCAAGAACTAGAACATTCCGCTAGTGTTTACAGCCAGTGAATGCAAAAAAGAATCAGGAAGAAAGAAACTTCTGAATGCACTTAATTCAAACAAAATTAACACAATAAAATCACCTTCTTCCATAAGTACCACACACCAATGAGTCCACAAACTGCCAAGCTGACTAGGTCCTTCCTGTCAAATTCGTAATTCACTACGTCTGAAACAGATAAGCATTCGAGTGTCCAGAAATTATGTCAATATAACGCACTATCTGATTTAAAATAGGTGAAAACATTTTCACATTTAGGATAAGAAAGTGGCGTGGATGTTTCTCATCCCAATATAACCACTTGACAGTATCTACGTAATGGTCCTCTGCAGTTGATGCAAGGACCTATTTGGATAAATAAGTAAATTCGGTAGATGATCCTAGGACCTGTCTGAGTAACAGTGGTAGCTGTTCCAAGAACTCATTTGAGTGAGTGAGCAACCATTGCAGCTATTCCAATAACACAGAGTAAGTTTAAACAGTTACAGCTACTCCGAGGATTAATCGGAATGAGTTAGCAACTTTTGCAGATGGCTATAATAGCCTCTCCCTGGCCCTTCTTTCCTTTCTTCTTTTGTTGTCTCACTGATTCCAGGTTGTAGCCCAGTGTTGTGGTTTTGTTGTCTCACTGATACCAGGTTGTAGCCCAGTGCTGTGGTTTTGTTGTCTCACTGATAACAGGTTGTATACCAGTATTGTGGTTTTGTTGTCTCACTGACACCAAGGTGTAGCCCAGTGTTGTGGTTTTATTGTCTCACTGATACCAGGTTACAGCCCAGTGTTGTGGTTTTGTTGTCTCACTGATAACAGGTTGTATACCAGCATTGTGGTTTTGTTGTCTCACTGATATCAGGTTATAGCCCAGTGTTGTGGTTTTATTGTCTCATTGATACCAGGTTGTAGCTTTGTTGTCTCACTGATACCAGGTTATAGCCCAGTGTTGTGGTTTTATTGTCTCATTGATACCAGGCTGTAGCTTTGTTGTCTCACCGATACCAGGGTGTAGCCCAGTGTTGTGGTTTTGTTGTCTCACTGACACCAGGTTGTAGCCCAATGTTGTGGTTTTCTGTATTTGTCGAGTGGCTTGGGTGGTGATGGATTTGTTCCCTAGCCCTAAAATAACCAAAACTGCAGCAAATCTAAGCTTAAATAACTCAAAAAGAGAACTGATTGCCCACCTCAGAAGGAGACAATCTACATTATTTGGTCATCTCATGAGAAGGGGAAAACTGCAGCACATCGCGACAGTAGGAAAGTTGGAAGGGAAGAGAGGCATAGGGAGCGAAGATGCTGGACAGTCTGACATCATGACATGGAGGATCATCTATGTCAGAGATGACTGAAAGTACATGAGACAGAAGGCTGTGCACAGACATGACTACCAATGCAACACTGCATGAACTTCAAGGAGAAGAAGACAGTAAAAGACACTTCCCTTTAGAATTTTACAGGCTGTTCCAGAAAGGATGAGAACAATATCTATACAGGAGTGCATGTTGAGGATTGCTACAATTCAAATGGACATTTCTCTGAAATGCCTTTCAGTACTGAAAAATGACTAATTATTTTCTGCTAGGGCAACTGTTTTCTTTGCCTGTTCAGCCAGCCTTCTTTTGGAGGATTTAGAAGAATCTGACTGCTCTCACAGTGAATGTCGTGTAAAGCTCAAATGGCATTTGTTTTTGTTCTGTTGGGGGATCTCCAACACAAAATAATTCAGCTCTATGTCTTGCACTCTGAACAGTGTGGATGTGGTTTTGGACTATGTTTTTCAGTTCTTCTTTCGTTCGCCTGAATAAGTTGTCTATATCAGCAGTTTTGTCTCTTGTATAAATTTCACTGTCGTTGTTAGTTCATTCAGTGGTCCACAGAGTTTACGTTCCACTGTTGTTCTTTCTGGCCGTGGTTACGTAATCGGTTGTGCCCTGTTCTGAGGCGGAGGATAATGACTTGTTCTGGTCTGTCCAAAATAAAATAGTCGTCTTGTGCTGGGGCTGGTGGTTTCCTGATCGATTTAATGATTCTTTTCTTTTGGTGTTATGTGACTGGTACATCCGGCTGCTCTTTTGTCGCACCTTCCCCCGCCAGTTGATCAGCTTTCTCATTTCCAGGCACTCCACAATGAGACGGTATCCACTGCATTACGACTCTTCGCTGAAGGCTGAGTTGTGTCAGCAGTGTTTGCAATTCTGGTAGTTTCCTAGACTGGTGTGCTTCAAGTACGGATTTAGCATCTGTCAGCATTACCACATACTGTGAGCCAAGATTGGTATTTAGCAGTTTCTCTGTTGCTATCTTGATAGCTTGAGTTTCTGCTTCATAGTTATGGCAGTACTTCCCGGTTGGTACACTGGACTTATCCCTAGTACCATCTGGGAATTCGATGTACACTCCAGCCCCACCATTTCTAACTGCACTTTCTGCGGACCCATCTGTATAGACTCTGACCCATTGTTCTTGTGGGTATTCTTCATCAATATAACTGATGGTGGCCATTCTGCGTAGTACACTATCTTGCTCTTTCTTGTCAAATATCCCTTTCACATTTGTCTGGATTTGTACACCCATTTTCATTACTTTTACTTCTTTCACTTGCAACTTGAGTACGAATCACTACATGATGGAGAAAATTAATGCTGAATTAGGAATCGACATCACAGCACTCAGTAAACTCCCATAAGCAGCAGGCAAAGAGTTCCAATTCCGATGACACCAGTAACTGAGCGTCTGCGAGATCCCCCGGTAACTCCTCACGGCGCGATTCTCCTCAGACCGTAATGATACAAGATGGAGAAAAAAATACAATAAAACTTCTAGAACAAAAATATGAGGTGAGCAAATAAAACACAATAAGTGTAAATCTGTTACCTTCTTTCTTCTCCTCTTTACCCTGAGTCAAAATAAAATGATACTCCATGTTTGGGAAAGAAGCTGTTAGAAGCCTGCTGATAATCGGTCTGAAATAAAAAAAATCTTAATAAAACATTTTTCGCACGAAAAACAAAAAAATTAAAGCACTTATACAACAGTCTTAGTTTTTTGTTTTTTTGAGGTTTCAACTTCAGTGCAGTCGGGTCATCCCACACTTGCTCCGTTCCTGTGCCAGTAAAAATCAAATGAACAATTGCTAGAGGCACCAAAGCCAACAGTCGCCACCAGAAATACAGTGTTTCATTGTTTTGTTCGGGCATGATAAGTTGGATGTACAAGCATTGGATTATTACACAAGGTATTTCCCCAGTCGACACATAAACCGGCTACCGGCCATATTAATTGCAATGAGTCAACCACTGAACAAATAAAAGGCATTCGATTTGAAAAAACACAGTTTACAGGGCTGCACCAAGCACAAAACTCAGTAGCTCAGGCAGCGAAACTGTGGACTACAGTCCATATGTGGAAACTGCATTAGCAAAGCGCTGTCGGAAGCAACAATTACTTTGAAGCTTAACCTTCTTGAATGCCTACTATTCCATTTTAGACCAGAAGTCTTATACAACAGTATCATCATCAAGTAAACTGCACACTGGCAAGCATAAACCATCTTCTCTAATAGCATGTATTGGTTTGCAAAGTTTGTGTGCTATAACCTTTTCTGATGTGACAAAAGGCTGCTGTCAAGAATCATCTTCCATTAGAAGCATCACAGTGGCTAGCAAGTGCATAAGCACAGGTGGCACAGTTCATCCTGTAATTAAAACACCTGAATCAGGGATCAGGTCAGTGCTTTTGTCAGGTTCAAGCCATCCAGGCATTGATCTCTGATTTCCCTTTGCTCTCTCTCCAACAAAATTGCCAGCTGTCACCAAATATTTCAGTTTATTCATTCTCAAAACACATCAAAACTGGACTGTCTGCATTCAATTTCTCAAATCTCCCTGTGTGGGTTCGGGGGCCCTATTTTTGGGGGGAAAACCAGAACAGACCCACTGCCCAAAAAGCACTGTCACATGGGTCGACTAACTGGGGACTTCCTTCGAAGTCTGAGTGCATCTGACAGAGCAGCAGGGGATTTTACAACCGCTGGTGTCAACAGTTATAAGAGAAAGAAAATTATGTTATCTTGGGCACATTCTGGCATAAAACAAATTTAAAAAAAAAAAAAAATCACTACTATCTGTTTTTAACCACCTTTTTTTTAAGGGCGGTGTTGACAGGAGGTGTTGCGAGTCTGAAGATTTAGGGCTACATGGCTAGTGCTGTCGCCACAGACTGCAGGTAAGAATGTTCAATTTTGCCCCTGCCAGGAAAACTCTATCACCTTACCAGGGGCCGAACTCGAGTCTCCCGCATGAAAGAATACAAAAAAAATGTTTTTTTTTTAAAAACAGGCATTGAAATTATAAATAAATGGACTAAGAGAGTGAGGACATTAAAGAGAAACTCTATCTTGAAGGTCGATGAGAGAGACCAGGTGCTCAACTAGATTCCATGAGTGATAAAACAATTGCCCAGTAAAGAACAGAATCAAGGAACTGGACCTACACAACATATAGGGGGTCCCAGTGGCAAAGTAGTCAAACCGTTTGCTTCATGCTCTGAAGGCTGTAATTTCTTTTCACGGCTGCATCATTTGGTTAACAAGTGCAATTTTTATGGAGACCTCTGTGGACTGTTGCCAAAGCTGCAGAGTTTGTGCTTTGTACGACACTCTCGGCAGGTGGCTTGCCGTTCTGGGGAGACAGACTGAGCCATATGGGATCAAAACCCAGTGCAATGAAGTTGACCGTTTCAAATTTAACCTTTAAGCTATGTGACATAACGGTACAACACTCTAATGAATGAATAATGGAAAACCTACTACTCACCTGGCTATGTGACTCAGCGCCAGCACACCCAGAAAGAAGAAGTATGCCGTCAACAGCAGGTTTATGTGCTCTTTTGAAAATATCTGAAAAAAAGGGTGAAAGCAGTTTTTAAAAAGAAATGTGGCAGAAATAAAACTTTTCTCAAGTAACTGACTTCTTCTTCTTAAAGGCTATTTATTCTATGTGGCAGGGTTAAGTGTGCTTGTCTACAGTCCTGTGTCTTATATACTGTTAATCATTTCCTAGAAAGATTCCTAAAATGCTATAATGCCATACTGCTGTGCAAAATCTTTTCTCTTGGTATCCCCCTCAAACCCTTCAGACAGAACACACACACACACAGATATATCAGAGACACATGTAGATGCGTCTGTAGTTATGTCACAGAGAGCAAAAAAGCGGGAGAAAAGGGTGTGCACGTGTGAAATCTTCTTCGTGTTCACCAGCTTTGTAAACTCTGGTGGAAAGTTCTGGCTTTTGGTCCACTTCTGGACTTTAGTGTTGTTTCAGAACCTAAGTGTTGTGCACACAACGGTTTTACAGATAGGACATATCTGTAAGCAGACTGTTGGTTCCTTAAGTCTCAAAGAGACCCTTACGACATGCTTGTTGGAGAGGCAGTGGGTCTATTCTTGTTTTCCCCACAATGGGGCCCCAGAACCCATAGAAGTAGTGAAGAACAAATCTGTTTATATGTTAGACAGAGGGAGAAATAAAGGGAGGGAGAGATGGGGAAGGGGGCAGAGACAGAGAGAGAGAGAGAGAGAGAGAGAGAGAGAGAGAGAGAGAGAGAGAGAGAGAGAGAGAGAGAGAGAGAGAGAGAGAGAGAAGGAGAGAGAGAGAGACACAGACATAGAGAGAAGAAAAAGCACAAAAGCACATGAAGCAGGAAAGGTAATAAGGAAAGACTGGTTTAAAGTAGCACTAGAAAGGTTGCAAGCTGACATATCTGAGAAGAAGCGTACTAAATATATGTGATGGCAGTAGCGGCCCTGAAGTCCCATGCCCTAATTGTGAAAGTCATATTTGCCGTCACCGTGGGCTGCGATTCCTATGCCACCCTACAGCATAATACAACATTATCATCTGGAAGGATGGAAAGGTTTCAACAGGTAAGACAAGAGTTCTTCTTCATCATCTCCGTGCTCACCAGCTGTCAACTTTGTTCTGGTTGTTTGTCCTCTTCTGGGCTTCAGTCTTGCAACATAACTTTAGTTTTGCATGCATGCGCATTTTACAGATCTAACTTATTTGGAAGCACTGTTGTTTTTGTGTGCCTCTCAAGCAGATGTACTCTGACTGAAGAAAATACTCCTAATTAGTCTACTCTTAGGACATGCTTGTTAGGGAGAGGCAGGGGGTCTATTTTGCCCCCCCCCCCCCCCCCCCCAAAAAAAAAATGGGGTCCTGTAAACCCATACGGGGAGAACAAAGTTCAGATAAACATTTTTACCTGAAACACAATGTATATCCCAAACAAAGCACAACTTGCAATAATGGGAAACATGGCAGCATCTTTGTGTGACATGGTCTCTGGTTTCTCTCCGGACTCCTGCAAAGAAATGAAAACAGCTGTTGTAATCACATAAATTTAACCAACCACAAATATTTAGCCTATGGTTGTTAGAACAACTTATAACTACTGGGAGTTACAATTATGCTTGCACATATTCTAGGCCATGACATGCACAATGAGGTGGCCAGATGCATCTTTTTCTCCACAGACAATTCTTTTTCCAACAAAAGTTTAGAAAATGTTCTGGTATTCATTATCAAGTTAGTTTTGTATCCTTTACAGGATGTTACAGAACCAACCCCAGCATTTTTCGGCTGTTGTGGTTTTTCTAGGCAAATTTACGTCCAGTAGTTTGCCATTGCTTTCTGGACGGTCAGCTTCTCAATACCACTGTCGAAACCAACGCAAGGCGCAGGGCCTGCAGCTGTGATCGAACCCAGCACCCTGGCATTACGAAACGCTCTAGCAATGCTGAAGTCACAGGTGCCAATTTTTATCATCAACATAAACAATTTCTGTCATTAATTTGTGATCCAGTGCACACTGGCTGCACTGGCTGTTGTCATGCCGTGAAGGTGGAGTGTGTTTTTAATGTTGTTGATCCATGTGTTCCGCGGCCTTCCTCTTGCTCTTGTAGCTGATCTTCTGAGATGTAGTGCTTGTGACAGTATTTGATCTTGCTGCATTCTAATGAGATGACCAAACGACTTGATTCGCTGTTTCTCAATGAATCTAGTACACAGTGTCGTTTCCACAATCTGTCTGGCAGTATGAATATTCACTCAATCACGGAGGGTTAGGTTGGCGGCTTTTCACATGCATCTCATTTCACCAAGTGGTGATTTTACAAAGATGGGCTTTAAATAGTGTCCATGTTTGGCTCTGGTAGCTTAATTAATGTTGGAATGAATATGCTGTTTATAATCTGTCTCTCTGCACTCACAGTTATGTTTAGATGTCTTAATAATGGTTATATTTAGTATATAACAGCACATACTTTATGAAATCTGGTTTCTATTTCTCTGACAATTCTACCATCTTCCGTGATCATACTTCCTAGATATTCAAATTCCCTACCTTGATTCAGACCAGAACCATTCAAGTGTTTGTGTAGTGGGCCAGACTTTAATTGTTTCGGTTTTGTTTGCATTAAACTTCATGTTCTGGTATTAAGACTGTTTGAGAGGCTAAGCTGACTTCATAAAAGGTAATATTTAAAAAAAACAAAAAAAAAAACACACAGAAATTCTGGCTTTTAGTGTGGTTTGCCTGTTTGTGTTCACTGGCTATGTGCTCTAGCAGAAAGAGACCTCTGGGAAATCATCGCGGAGCTACAATGTTCATGCTCTGCTCGATGCTCTCGGCGGTGGCTAGCCCTTCTGTGGAGAGACTCAGCTATACAGGATGAAACTTGGTGCAATGAAGTCGATCCTCTTGACTTTATTCTTTAAAGGTGTATGTCTTTAGAAAGGAGCCACAGTATCATGGCTAGATTTTTGTCTGCTGGCCCAAAGGTCTAGGGTTCAAATTTGTATTGAAGCGGATATTTCAAATCAAAATTAGCCTTGGCTCCCAGCCTAAAATGGGCATCTAATGTAATTGGACAGAAAAGGTAGCTGGCATGATGCTGAAAATATCATCCATCAAGAGTTGACTGACAGTGTGACCTAGAATATCCTTACACTGGAACCCCTACGGTAAAGAAATTAATGGAGAAAAAATATAACATTTGGCAAAGATAACTGGAAGCAGGTGATTAAGAAGGCAAGGACATTTGTGAGCTGTATGTGACAAATAGGACAGGAAGACATGGTTAAGGATGTGAACTCCATTTGGGAAAAAAGACCAAGGGAAAAAAAAATTTCTGAAACTGTAGACAGGAACCCACATTTTTTGTCTCTCATTCATTTTAATTTAATAAATCACTTTCAACTCTTGACTTGCTACCAGTTTCTTTTGATGGCAACACACACATTTGTCTTTCACCACTAACTCTATACCCTCTTGTTCTGTAACCTAACACACTCGTCACAGACTGTCAACTGAGTCTCAAGTGTGTATTTCAATATAACAGCAACCCGATGACTAACTTTAAAGGGATATTTTCTATTCCCGAAATTAGTTTGGGTGGTAGGGGCTTCAATGGACCTGAGCCCCTAGGTTTCTGTGCCTAAGCAGATGATGTAAGTACAAATAAAGTAAAAGGGCCCTTTTCAACACCAAGCCATATTATGATATTGGGCATATATTGTTATATATGGTTTCCTTTGAATCAACCCCCAAAATGGCGGCATGCCCCATTCTGGCCATAAAATATTCAAAAATATCCGAACGATGGTGTTCGCGCATATCTAAAATACGAACTTTCTGCCAAGGAACAAATCGCGGCAAAACTAGGATTACTTGATAATCAATATCAACATTTGCACACAGTAGTAGCAGACGATAAATACCGACCGTTAACAATTTCGAGCGTTTCTGCAGACGATATTCGCAACCGTTGACCAATTTCGAGACATTACAGACGATGAAAGCCGATTAGCAATACTGTGTTCTTCCGATTGGAGGATTTAGCAGCGGTAGATGTCACACTTGTCGGCATGCGCCAAACGCGATTAAACTCATGCCGAGTGTATCCCCGCGCCGCTACGCGTGGCACGGATGGGGGGGCTGAACTAGGTGCCTGGGACTCACCAGTACAGTAATTGGAGGAAGTTGCAGGAGATGCGGTAGCTGCCGCTCGTAAGTCCCAGCCATCTAGTTTAGTCCCCACCTGCGCCGCGCGTAGCGGCGCAGGGGATACGCTCAGTGGTAAGGCACACTCGCAGAAGCAGGTCGGCAAGTAACGTATCGCCGAGACCTTGTCAGAGCATTTGTTTCGTTATCCGGAACCGGCACATATATTTTCAATAGAACTGACCCGCAATTGGATATTTTATGGCAAGAAATTGGCCAATTTAGCTCTCTTTCGAACGCCATCATATTAAAGCAACCATTTTGGGGGTTGATTCAAAGGAGAGCCTTATAATACTTATATATATATAGGGCTAGACATAGTTTACGCCAATCCGCACTGTGGGTGATGTGGTCAAAGTCAACAACAGCACTGTTGGATTACAGTATTAAAGATCTATCCACCTCTGCAAGTTTCAATGTTTAAAAAAATGAGAAAAAATACATTCAAATAAGACATAAGCATTCATTTATGGCAACAGTAACAGTACAGTGGTTCAGCTCAATTTTAGTGAACACTGAATATGTAGTGTAGTGAACTGTAGTGCTTGGTTTAGGGACCACAGATCCGGAAATTTGCTATCTTTTCGACAATTTCCGTTACCATAGAAACCGTTTAAAACTTGTTTCGGAAATGTCGGCTGGGGTTTCGGGATGGGTCCTAATCTCTCATGAAATTTTGCCATTGGTGTGATTTTCACCCACTCTAAATAGCTGAAAACGGCGGGAAGGAACCCGATTAACAGCGCATGTCTACGACAGCCGGACATTCTCTGTTAGTCTATCAGTTTGATTGAAAATAGCGGTAAATTCGAGGTTGGCTTTAGGCTTAAACATTACCAGTTGTGGTAATGCTAGTTACAATTGAATTCTCCGTCCAATTTTACATTTGCATATTAAATTTTTTTCCCCGACTCTGGCTGTTTAGATTTACAGTGACATTTTTTAGGCAATCGCATGCGGCTGAGTGAGCTGAGTCTCACTGCCTGCCATCTTGTCCAATGACAGTCCAATGTCAACAAAGCCGATACAGAACTGCGCAGTAGGTTGCGCAGTAAAAAACTTCTTGTTTCTGGGTCACAAGTTTTAGCGGCTGTTTCTTACATCTCATCTCCACAAAAACCTACATATCTCAGCTCAGAAATGACATACAAGCCTAAATGAGGTACCATTGGAAAGAGATTGTTTACAGCTATCTAACTGTGCTGGTTTTATTGGTGTAGAGGGCATTTTAAAAATTTGACTGAAGTAGCTACTTGGTTGGGGAAACTAACTTTTTGCTCCTTATGAAACGTCACGGAACGGAAACAACCGATGTAGATCGGTAGAATTGCCATCAGAAATAAACTAGCATATGCTACCGCCATCCCTTCAGGGGTAGCAGGTATTCTGGCTGTTTCATTGGCGGTGGCATTGGTCTCTGTAATGTTGAGAACAGCCTGCTCATTTGCGGTATCCGCCATGGTGGCAAACTGCTGTCGTCGTAGCAGTCGTAGCAGGAAGTCAGAAAGTAAGGAGGCTACAACACAGCCCGAAAATTACCGTCGAACTTTCCACAGGTGTCCGAAGAAAACATAAATTTTTTATTTTGAATAATGAAGGGTGCTTATGAACGTTTGAGTATGTTTGTGTGTCTGTGCACGTATGTAGGCGTCTGGGAGCGTGTCATGAAAGTAAAGTGAGTGAGCGCGCGCGTGTGTGTTTGTATGTGTAAAAGTTAATATAACAGACAATTTATGGTCAGCATCCTCCCTTAGGGGGGGGGGGGGGGGGGTGCGCTATAGGAATGTATAATTGGTTGACAGAGAATATGAGTGATGATTATCGCAAAGGGTAATTCAAAAATATTATAGTCCCCATTTGGGTTCAGGGGCCCTTTTGTAGGGACAACAAGAACAGACCCACTGCCTACCCGAAAGCATGTCGTAAGAGTCGACTAATTGGGAGCTACCTTCGAAGTCTGAGTATATCTGACCGAGCGGCAAGGGACTTTACAACCGCTGGGAAGCAAGGAACCAACAGTTGCATGGAAATGAGTTATATCTGTAAAACGGATGCACACACAACACTCAGGTTCTGGAAAAAGACTAACAGTCCAGAAGTGGATTAACAACCATAACTTTCCGCCGGAGTTTACAGCCGGTGAATGCGAATAAAAAGAAGAAGAAGAAGAAGAAGAAGAAGAAGAAGAAGAAGAAGAAGAAGAAGAAGAAGAAGAAGAAGAAGAAGAAGAAGAAGAAGAAGAAGAAGAAGAAGAAGAAGAAGAAGAAGAAGAAGAAGAAGAAGAAGAAGAAGAAGAAGAAGAAGAAGAAGAAGAAGAAGAAGAAGAAGAAGAAGAAAAAGAAGAAGAAGAAGAATAGTATGCAAATAGCTCGGACTGTGTTAGCAGAATGGAGAATGGCTGTTCTCCTGGGAGCAGGGCTGCCAGTGGGATTTTTGTCAATACCCCCAGCTAAGCTGACACACAAAAAAAAGCAAAATATTTTTTTGCAGAGGATATAGCACTCCTATCACATAAACATGAACATATACAAGAGAAAAGTCACAGACTACACTGCACAGCAGAAATGGTGGGACTGAGAAAAAATACAAGGAAAACTAAGATCATGACAAACAGTCCAAACCAATAACCAGTGACCATAAATAAATAAACACTTGAAAATGTAGAACATTTCACAAATATTGGTAGTGGGGTGTCCCTACTGGGAGAAACAGAGGAAGACATACAGTCACGCCTGAACACAGCTTGAGCTGCTTTTGGAAGGATGAGGCAAATCTGGAAATCCAACAATTACTGCAGAGGAACGAAACTTCCAATCTACACGAGCACCATTTTGCCAGTTCTTCTTTATGGAGCAGAATGCTGGAGAATGACTAAAAAGGATGCACACAAGCTGTCCACCTTCCACCACACATGTCTACGTAAAATTATCAAAATTTTCTGGCCAGATACAATCTCAAACACTAAACTACTTCAAATCACAAACCAAGAAACCCTAGACAGTATGATAACCAAGAGATGAGGGAAATGGCTTGGCCACGTTATGAGAATGACTTCTGATAAACTGCCAAAACAGCTCTCACATAGATACGAGAGGGAAAGAGAGAGAACAAAAGGAGGGGGGGGGGGGCAAAAACAACATGGAGACGAACGATGGAAAGTGACCTGAGTGCGGCATCTTTGACTTGGAAAACTGCACTGAAGATTTAACAGGACAGGAAAGCATGGAAAGTCCTTTCTGAAGCCTCATGTGCCACTAGGCATAAAGAGAATTGACGATGATGGTGATGATATAAATTAAAAAAAAAAAAAAATCTGAACCCAAGGCGTCATTTTGAAAAACCAGTATTGGTAGCCATGACTGGGAGGGCATCACACACTGCATCAAGGTCAGGTGGTACCTGGTGTGGAAAATGTGTGCCACCCCTTCCTTTTTCTTTTTTTCTACACGGCCGAGCTGCAGTTTTTACTGGAGAAGGCGGTGCATTTTTTTTTAAATTTACTCCACTATCCCCCTTTTTTTCCCACCCAAGATTGATGACACTTGGTGCAGCCGATACGCCCCTTCCTACATCTCCGGTCGCTCAAACACCGTAGCTCCAGCTATAATGCTCAGAGATCTCCCAAGATAAGTACACAGCACACGACGGAATAAGAAACCGAAACTCATAACTTAACGGCGGATCCGCGTCTACGGGAAACACTGTGACGACACATTGGGGAGAAGGATATCACTGAATATCAGCAGCATAAGTATAAGAAAGAAAGAAAGAAAGAAAGAAAGAAAGAAAGAAAGAAAGAAAGAAAGAAAGAAAGAAAGAAAGAAAGAAAGAAAAAGAAAGAAATTAAAATAACTCCGACATTAATATTTACCATTAGCTCCCCTAATATGTTGATAAGTAGAGTTTGTCCGGGTTTAACCTAAAACCCAGTTAAATTCAATTCTAGACCAAGCTGTTATCAATATCTGTTGTTTTTTTAGCAAGGTTCCTTGGGAGCGTCTGTTAATTTGTGTATTTTCCATGAGTCTCGTTAGGAAGGCAGACACATTGTTTTCATGGCGGCTCCGCCTCACAGGGACCCCCATTAATTTGTGAATGACGTCAGTTGCAGACAGTCCTTGCAACGTAAAAGGCCAACCATGTAATTTTTAACAAGTCACAGCAAAGCAGACACCTTTAAAGCACTAATTATTGTCAAATGTCGTAGGCGTGGGCGAAGATTACTTGTCACCTCACACCAGGGGCGGCAACGCAAAGAGAATATGGGAAGGGAAGCCGGGGGTGGGGGCTTAGTGGTCTTAGACACTTTACACATTTTCTAGAGGAGGCTTTCAGGTAGTGTAGCCTTATTTAGTTAGTAAGTTGTGTGTCATTTACAGGACGTCGCAGAAACCGGTCAGCTCTCGGTACCAAATCGAAACCAACGCAAGACAATCCATCCGCAGCTGGGATCGAACCCGGCGCCCCGGCATTACGAAGTGCGTTCGCAATGCCTAAGCCTTGTTTAAGTGGTAAAAATAGTAATATGGTAAAAGACTCGATGATCTTGGGTTCGAATTCTCACTCAGTTCCCCCCCCCCCCCACCCACAAAATGACACTGGCTCCAAGATGGACCCGGTATAACATGGGTACTAGACATATATCATTGGAAGTGAATCTTTTATTCGTTCTCCTATATGGAGCCCCAGAACCCACTCGAGGATTACTGGAAGTAAAGGCGGCAATTGATTTGAAGTTGATCACATAACCCACCGTGTGCCAATAGGTTATACAAATATGTGTCTTGCATGTTATGCCCCATGCGCTGCATGCGTGAAAAGAGTCCTTTAGGGAAGACGTAGTCTTGTTGTGGGCTCTAAAGGAAGACGTAAACTTGTTGTGGGCTCTAAAGGAAGACGTAGTCTTGTTGTGGGCTCTAAAGGAAGACGTAGTCTTGTTGTGGGCTCTAAAGGAAGACGTAGTCTTGTTGTGGGCTCTAAAGGAAGACGTAGTCTTGTTGTGGGCTCTAAAGGAAGACGTAGTCTTGTTGTGGGCTCTAAAGGAAGACGTAGTCTTGTTGTGGGCTGTGTGCACGTTATTGATCAGCTCTGAGGTATGGATTCAAAGCTCAGTGGATAAGATCATTGTTTTCCCCCTGACACAGCGTCCACCTGGGTAGGGTCTGGCCTGATGGAAACCACAACTGTCATCGGGTACTGACCAGTCTATGAGCCAAGCACCATATGCCCAATGCACTAATTGCATAAAAAGAGCACTTTATTGTAATACTCTTATTCTCACTGCAGTTGACATATTTATTGTTAAAATTAGATAACTAGATTTAACTGCCCGACTTCGCCCGTGACAGTGATAGAACATTGTATTCTCCTGTCCTTTACTTCATCGTTTGTCTCCCCGATACCATATGTTTAGTCATTGTCCCTAGCTGCACCAGAAGCTACTACCACCCCATAGGCTCTTCCACCACCTCTCAAATGACCGAAGAAGCTACCGCTTCCCCTCAACTACCCAAGCACTTCAAGGTGGCGGTAGCGCATACTATGGGAAGAATTGGTCTAGGAGGCTCTTACCGCTCCCACCTCCACCATCAAGATACTCATGGGATATAACTCCAGCGAGTGTTAATATTTAGTGATTGTGGCGTTAATTAAAAGAAATGCGTAGAAACATTTGCAGTAAAATAGCATTGTTACAGGGAAGGCTAACCCCGACAACAAATACATGGAACGGTCGGATGTGTCGGCCGAATGGTGCAAATATCACAACCATTTTGTAAACGTCCACAAAACATTTACGTCTTCAGATGAAAGCAGAAGAAGCAGAAGAAGAAGAAGAAGAACAAGAAAGCGTCGACATTGCAGCTACAAATTTCACCCTTGTAATGGTTACCGTTTGGAAGAAGTTTTTGGTTTATTAAAAGTTTTATAGCACACAAAAATAATAAAAAACACGATATGTGAATATTTGTATGGTGTTTATTTTTCGTTGCGTACAATATTACGGTCGATGAATGTAAAGTGTTTATCAAAGAAATAAAAATACAAAATAAACAGTACTTCAGATATGTACACAAAAAACAAAACAAAACAAAAAAATACAATTAACACAGTTTGAAAGAACCAGTTGCTATTAAATCAGTTAAAAATAATGAATAAAGAAGTGTATCAAAAATGCAGATGATAACAGCAGTTTTGTAGGAAGTAATGATGTTTTGTTTAACAAGGCCTACGTTTCACAGCCGTTTTATATAGAAATGGTTTTAAACAAATGAGATACAAACAATAGACTGCAGTTGATGTTTTGCGGTAACTCATCATTCCACTGGTGAGGCGTGTATGTAACACTTTCCATTGCTAAAAAAAAAATGTATTTTTTTAATATTTATTATTTATGTTCACTATTTATTACGTCGGAATCCTTGGCTTAGACGTCTCGAACGCGCTTCGTAATGACTGCGCCTTTCAAGTCAAAGTCCTTTTGAGAAAAAAAAATGAAAAGCTCGACCACGCTCAGACTGCTGCTAGCTAGCCTAGGCTGCTAACAGTCTCCGCCTATATTTGTGGTCTGGGTTATTTGCGTCACTTTCGTGACTGAATACTAGTGTTTGTGCCATTTCTGGCTTGATGCTTCCATCCGAATCAAACCGCTCGTCCTGTTGTCTCTGGAGCATGTCTTCCTTCTTCTTTCTTGGTGTTTCCTGTTTGTTCTGTCTCCCTTTGATCTGGCTAGGCGTATCTCGAAGAAGAGCGAGCCTCCATACACAACGTCCTTTCGGCCACCATTTATTGTTTTAAAATTTTGAGTAATTTAATTTTGCCAAAAGTACTGAAAACAGTTTTTGAATTTGAATAGTTCCGAAATGTGAAAATTTTCCGCATGTGACCATAGTGGTCTTATAGTTGTCTTGACTGCGCCTTGCGTTGGTTTTGGCAGTGGTATCGAGAAGCCTACCGCCCAGAAAGCAATATGAAACTACTGAACGTCAATTTGCCTAGAAAAACAACAACAGCAAAAAAAAAAAAAAAAAAAAAAAAAGAAAATGCTGGTGTTGGTTCTGCAACATCCGGTAAAGGATACGCAGCTGACTTTAATAACTATTTATTACAAATATGCCACTAGGTTTATACCTCGAGCATAGTGAAAAAGAACGCTCGCCGCATGCTACGCCACTAATGCAGAAATTGTTACATGCCAGCGACGAGGAGGAAAATATCACGTGTATCCTCTCCAGTATACCCGATAACTTTTAACGCTTACACATGCATATAGATCACGCCTCACCACTGCTTGTCATGTGCACACTGCAACAACAAGTGAATTATTTATAACGGGGAAACATTGTTTGATACAAGTAAATGCACTTAAACTAATCAAAGAAATCGTTGTGTCTGATTGTCAGTCGGTATTGCAGAAGGTTAAAAATATATATATGTGGCAGCTGTGGATACCAAGGATCTGCATGTCAACATTACAGGGACCCGCGAGGGTAGACTCCCCGGAACATGCAGGAGTCTATACATGACCGAATCATTCGGGGAAATACAATGCTATACGAAATCCCATGCATGCGTTAAGTGAATGTGGAAATGAGTGAGGATCTGGCAAGAATAGACACGTTCAAGGGGAAGAATTTGACGTTTGTATAAGCAGAATGTACACGAACTGTCATCATCTACACCTCCAGACCTTTTCTGATGAGAAAATATAGGGACGATTGGAAAGATTACTGGCTGAAGAGGCAGAGGCAGACCAAGAAAGAGATGGTAGATGGCGTAAGACGGTGGCATGGAGGAATATCATCAGTGGAATTGATCCAGAACACGAAAGACCAAGATCTATGGAGATGCATGAATGCAAACGCCAGCCGGCAAGGCACTTGAGGATGATGCTGATAATGATGATGTACAATGACATAGAAGATGGCAATATATTGGGCTCATCATAAGGAGAAACACACAGAGAATCACCAGACAGGCACTGAAATGAGAAGCACACTGAATAAAGAAACGAGGACGTTCTATAGAATCCCTGATGCGAACGTTGCTGAAATAGATCAAGGGCGCTGGACTGGATTCCATCCATGACATTGAGAGTATTGACATGAAAGAACAGAATGGAGAAACTGACTGCGAGCCCTGTGTGACGTTTAACGGCACAACGGGATGATATATATATATATATATATATATATATATATATATATATATATATATATATATACATACATATATAAGGAGTAACAGTCTTCATATAAATAAGCCAGATCTATAAAAAATATGTGCACGTACAACTCAGATTATGTATTAAGACCAAAGTCCAGAAGTGGACGAAAAAATCAGAACTTTCTCTTGACGTTTCCAGTCTGGGAACGCGAAGAAGTTAAAAAAAGGCTGGGGGGGGGGGGGGGGGGGGGGGGAGAGAATCGCCAGAAGTGGCAGGACTTTTCCTTATTAATACGGTTCGAGGTCGACGAATCTTCTTTAAATGGAGTACCACACAATTGCCTGCGTGTTGTTAGGGTACGTTTGAGACAGCTGCGATTGAGTATTAGTTTGGATTTCTTAAGTTATCACATTAAAGATTGCACCAAAAAAGTTCATTTCGATGACACAGTCATTAGTAGCAAGTCTCTGATTAAATGAAGCTTGCCCTGTTTCTTTTCGGTATAAGTGACCAGTCAGTAGGCACTTTATTAGTCTTGTAACGAAAACGTCCTGATTAGGTAAGCTTAGGTAGACGTAAGCAATGCCTAAAGAGGGCATTGATCCAGAGTACATATTACTATCACTGGCTCCAATGCTTACTGTAGCAGCTTTTTCTGACAGGGCTGTGAACAAAATGCTCAAAGCTAACTGACTGTAGATGAAGAATTGTTCTGTTCAAGGGTCTCTGAATCTTCCAATACTGTATCTGTTTCTTCGTGAACCGACATGCTATCTGCGGACATTGCTCCCTTTTTATGTAGTCTAGTTTTTACATGTGGCGATGAACTGTTAGAAGAAGCCGTGGTTACATTAGCTGTTGCTACTGTTGCTGATGTGGTTGTTAAAACTGTTTCTTTTTCCGACTGGGCAGACGGCGCAGTGAGAGCTTCGGCTGTGGCCGAATCATTCGTGTCGGAGAACAAGTCTGGCGGGAAAATGACTAAAGTATCCACAACCAGCCCAGGCTCCAGTTTGGTATCGCTGATACAATCCCGGGCAATTCTTCCGTCTGGGGGACAGACACACTGGTACTCACACGGAGCCTGAGAAAGACGGGGAAAAAAAATACACGCTATGAGATATGTCATTTTTAAGTTTGATTTAATAAAAAACATAATCTACACACATTACTCATCATCCCTTTAAAAGAGGTTCATAGTTGCCAATGTGTGATTATATGGCGAACTTCTTACTACACAAGACTACCGTACTTAATTACGTGTTAGCTGTAGTTCCTACCCTGTGGTCTCAATTGAGATGTAATTCTATAATTGTGCTGAGAATAAGACCAGCCTAAAATGGTTACAATGAAGTGTGCAGGGAACTAAAGGCGGTCGATGTTTCCAAATATTGACAGTATAAGGCTAATATCATACGCTTATACGCTTCAAGACGTAGAATCGTTCCTTTACTTACTTCTGCTTAAATGTGAATCTTTTAAAAATCGTTTTGTATATTACTTTAGTCGATCCTCTTCTCTTCTACCTTGAGGCGTAGAGGTTTGCCAGAGATTGCCAGACATCTTCAGGACTTCTCTATCAGCAGTTTTCTATTTGGGTTTTGTGTATTGTCAGACTCAAATATCATAACTAGTATTAATCTAACGCAGTGTTTTCCAAACTTTTCTTGGTCGCAGCGCTTTTTTTTTCAATTACATTTTTTTTCCACGGCGCCCTAACCTAAGTAAAATAATGTCTATTCGTGTCTTGGTTAAATTAATTTTGAAACGGTTACAATATTTCGCAGCGCTCCTATAAAGAAAGAGGTCGCAGCTCCACGGAGCGCTGCGGCGCACAGTTTGGGAATCAATGTCTAACGACTTTTCCAAACGGGACCTCCCTGCTGCGTTACTTTTGCCACGACCATCTTTAGATACATAAAGATACAGCTGGACGTGCTTTTGCCTAGCCGTGGTGGCATAATGTTTATGGCACTTGCCTGGTCAGATGGGGGTGGGAAAGGGGGGGGGGGGTTCAGGTTTAATCCCCAGCAGAGATGGGAGTTTTGTTTTCCTTGCCAATGTGGCTCTAGTGCTAAGAAACGGTTGTCCAGCCTCATATAAACAAATAAAGTTAAGTAATGAACCCTTTTCCCCGGCTGTCGGCGTATAGGATATATGGCGCTAGAGCTTTATTTCATACACCAGGCGGTGCACGGTGATGATGTGGTTAACATCACACCGACCGCCTTTACTTCCTATGACTTTACCTAGTAACCATTTAAGGGTTGGTCTACATGGGAGACAATTTTTTTTTTTTTTTAAAAGAAGAAGAAAATTAGGCTTCACGCGAGTGTGGGCCCCAGGGAAAAAATAAATGGTCGATAATATTAAACATATACACCAATTAACATGGGACCCTTATGCTTGTGGGGTCGCCGGACATGTGCCCAGCCGGCTCGTGCGTTAAGACGGCACTGCTTGAACCTACGACCTTCGGATTCGCAGGCGAGCGTCTTGTCGCTGCACCACGACGGCTATGAATGCCAATGTTCATAATTTTCTTAGAATTACATGGTAAGGGAAGAAAACGAGGAAGGAAACTGGCCTCTTCACCTTGTAAGCTGTGCCTAGAATATGCGAAGGCCTAAAACATCAAAACCATTCAGCTTCCTTTTCTTCTTCATTTTGTTTTGCGCGTACATGCCCGTTTTACAGATCTAGCTATTTGTTTCTCGCCTTTTCGGCAGATGCCCACCGACTTCGAAGGAAAACCCCTATTAATCGATTATTACAACATGCTTGTTAGAAGGGCATTGATCCTTTTCTTTGTTTCCCAAACAATGGGGTACCAAGCAGCAATTTCCATATACCACATTTCAAACAATTTCGAATTCTGTTAACCTCTATTATATTGAATCCAAATTACAGAGCAGCAAAGAGCAGTTGGTCATATATACGAGAGTGTAAACAATAATAAAAATGAAATAAACAATGCGAGAAAATTCCAAATTTAAAAACTAAAAACATTACTGCACCGTTACCGCCTCTTGGTCTTGGCAATATCAGAAAATATTATATTTCTTAGGTAATACCAGAACATATAATATTTTAGGTGATACTAGAAGTAGATAGCATTTTATGTAATTCCAGAAGCATACAGCATCTTCTATGTAATATTAGAGGCACTTAACAATTTTAGGTAATATCACAAACATAGCCTAAAACAGAAACATATAACATTTTCGATGTAATACCAGAAACATAATTTTTTTTAGATAGTAAATATAAACATATAACGTTTTCTAGGTAATACCAGAAACAAATAACATTTTCTAGTAATACTAAATACACCAACTTAGCTGTAGTTACATAAATATCATTGCTATGTAGGACATACCTTGACAACGCAAAGGCCACCACCTGCTGAACATAAGTCTGGGAATAACTCGCAAGGGTTCTTATTTGCAGTACTGCACTGAAGATTGCTGCTGGAAACTGGCATAGACAGCACTGACTGGTTTCCTGTGCAGTAGCAACTCCACAAACACAAGCATATTAGTGCTCGCTGAAGCGACACAGATATCATCTCTTTTTTGAAGCCCAACATCAACATATTATAACCTTAAAGATATTGTCCACCGTCCCGTCTGACGTTAATAACTTGCTCGAATAATCAAAGATTTTGGCTGATTTTGACTGGAGAGCACTGCAAAAAGAAGTCCACGGATTCCTTGTTTGAATTAATGAAACTGATTTTAACAGACAGTCCTACAAATGCTTTGCTCTGAATGAACGAAGACAGGTGCTAAATTTACTAGAATATGCTGTTAAAATTTGCTTTGAGTAAACAAAGACTTTAGAAGATTTTAGAATGCACTGTAAATAAACATTTCTATAGATTAACTGCCTTGAATAAACGAAGGATCAAGCCGATTTGACTAGAATTCTGTGAAGATAAACAGCTCTACATACAGTCTGTTCACAAACTGATACCCTTTTATAATAGGGAGCTATCCTATTGCATCCCGGAAAACCGGAACAGGTAATATATTAGTCAAGGCGGCATTATTGTAGGGGGCTATCCCCTCCTGTCATTTCATGTCTTGTATAATCAACTTTGGCCAGACACGTCATCTTCAGATATGAGCGGAACAAAATGAGGCATAAATGCTAGCCAAGCATATGCTTTCCCTTGACGCATCTAGACTTTGTGAAACCTGAAGCGATGAGTCATGCTCTATATATAAACTTAATGGACTTTTTTGGGGGACATTGGGCATTATTTTAAGGACGCTTACAGTTCGCCATTTCAGTGCGTAGTTTTAATTAGGGCGGGTAATTTTTTTCACAGTTATGAAGGTGAAGGTGAAATTGAAGTTAATAATACGGCATATACAGTGCGAGGGGAAATTTAAGGCCACAAATATATTAGGCCAAAGGATTATAAGGTGAGGCTCTTGTTTCCATTAAGAAAAATGTCCCACTATCACTTAGCGTGATGGTTGTGGGCTGGAAGAAGAAAAGTTAGGGGGAAAAGGGGGTTCAAGGAGGGCGTCAAACAATCTTGAAACTGAGTGCATTCGTACTGTAATAATTATGTTATACTAACAATTTTTTGGGTAAATTTTATTTATAAATATTTTTAAAAAAATCCTGATGTGGGGGAGTGATCTCTGTTGTCATAAAGGCCAAAAATAGCAGATATCATGTCAGGTCTTAATCAGTAATGACTGAGCTAACATATAACAGAATCCGATTCCACCTATCTTCTGTTAACGTCGAATGTTGGGTGTCGTATACAAAACCGGACATCTCATATTGTCCTAAGGGCTTTGGACAGAGGATCGCAATGGGGATGATACTAGTGTTATCCCAAGAAGAAGAAATGCAACCTGAAGACTTCAAGTTATGGCAGGGCAGACCAGGCCCTTAGCCTTAGCTGGCAGCTGGTCTAGGAGGGAAGCTCCGAAAGGCAGACAGATAGAGCACTGTTCTTCTGATCTGGCAGCTTCTGCTGTCTGCTTTGTTCCAAACGTACTGGTGTTACCTTTCTTTTGGAGTAAACAAGAAAGGCAGAGAGAGCGCGCGCGCGAGCGAGCGAGCGAGAGAGAGAGAGAGAGAGAGAGAGAGAGAGAGAGAAAGAGAGAGAGAGATCATAGTGCATGGGCAACATATAATCTCTACAATACTATCCAGGCTTTGTGCTATGGAGAGGAGGGTCATCATCCATGGAGTTAATTGGTCACGGAAAGAAATCGAGAGGCAGTGGTGACGGGTTAAATGGGTTATAAGCCCTTATCAGTTAGCGTGGAACGGGTTGCCTCTGATGAAGGTAGACATTTTCGAATGCCACTGATCAGCTACAGCCCGCCTCGAGATGGGCAGCCAATAAGGTTCTGATCCTGTTTGCTTCGATGGGTGCTTGGAACTAGGACAAAATCTAAATCACAGGCTTTAAAAACCAATGCACTAGGCAATAAAGAGAAACAACTTCAAGCTTCGGCTTGCCTCATGGAACGCCAAGACAGGACCATAAATCACGAGTTTTCTAATAACTTAAAAAACGTTAATGATGTCAGAAAAAAAAAAACAGCTGTCATTGATGCCGAACTCAGTCAGCTCGATATAGATATTGCTGGTCTACATGGAACACATCTGCCAGAGGATGAGACTATTAGAGACAAACAAAAAATTATACATTCTTCCGGAAGAAATCTGGAAGTCTAGAGTCGGAATTCACTTTTGGGATCATTTGAGTGTCCAGCTAGAGAAATTGATAGATTATTATCGCTACGATAGTCTACCTCATGCAGTTTTATTACCCTTGTTACTGCATATGCACTCACTCTAACGTCAGCGGAGGATGCGAAGGGATCTTTTTATGAGGAACTGGAGTTAAGTTGAGTTGAGTCAAGAATTGACATCCCAGCACTCGGGGCATTCCCATGCGTTCTCCGTTCTCATCTTCAGCAGCCAGCACAGTTCCAGTACAGATGGTACCAGTCACAATCTGGTTATATGTCCGTCTTGTCTTTTCTTTGAGTGTAGTGAGCCGGCCAGACCCTCTAGTTACACCCAGGTGCCTAATTCTCTCAAAGCCATAAAAATCTTCTTTCTCTACTTATTCCGTTGCTTGTTCCCACGGGCCTGGACCACATCTGCCTTGTCATGTATCAATTCACCACCCAGTGGTGCAGATCCAACCAATCTGTCTGCCTGTTCATTACCCACTACACCGGCATGGTCTGGGGAAAAGATTCAAATTATGCTCACTAGCCGTGAACTTCCCAGTGATGCTTGCCACTCTGCTCGAAGCATCCCTGTCTTCACCTTTCTCAGCATGCTTTTAGAGTCTGTTACAATTACGACATGTGAATGAATCTTGTTCTGTAGCTACCGGAGAGCTGCAGTTACCGCCTCCACCTCCATTCCCATGCTAGGTATTGTGATGTCGTATGCTAGGCTGTCTTGCACTTAAGATTTTTCCATTGGCTTTCGCACGAACCACCAGGCACTTCTCTTACCTCTCAACATCGAACCATCTGTATAGATAATCAGATCACCTGGGCGTGAATTGTCGTGAATCAACGGATTTCCTCCTCCGTAGCACCCGCTGGCCACTCTCTGCACTCCCGGCCCAATGTGTCATAACCTCAAACAGGTCAGACTTTTCCTCTGATACTCTGACCCACTCTTTTCTTCGCCCAGTGTTCTCCAGCATGCATATTTGTCTTATTGTCTTCTGCTTGAGCCATCCACGATTTTCCCTTTTTCAGCCTCTGTCCCTTACCTGCAGCCAAAGCTTCATACAGAGGGTGTTATTTGCAGCTACTGTGAGGTATGACTTAGCCTGCAGCACAGTTAGCCTATCTGCAATAGTCGGCAATGCAAGGATGTATCGCATGCACACAATCGGGGTGTCTCTTGTAACATCCCAGGATGACCTGCATGGCTTCATTCTGTATGCGCTCCAGTTTCTCTAGTTGACTTTTAGAGACAGTGAGTAACCCCAGTCCATAATCAGTCACTGAGATTCTTCTTCTTCTTCCTCTTTTGCCGTTCTATTCCCCAATGGAGCATAGGCCCTCAACCAACTCATGCCAGGTCGTTCTATCCTTCGCTATTGCATGGAGCTCTCCCCATGTCCTTCCCATCTTTCTAACTTCATTCTCCAGCTCTCTTCTATATGCGTTTTTTTTTTGGGCGTTCCTTTTTCCTATGCCCCTGTGGGTTCCAATGCAAAGACATTCTAGTTGTGCTGTTCTCCGGTTTTCTCAATGTGTGTCCTATCCAACGCCAACGTCTTTTTCTCACCTCTTGGTCCACTGGAGCTTGCTCAGTTCTCGCCCAAAGCTTTACATTAGTTATTCTATCATACCATTTAATTCCTTCTGTTCTGCGCAGGCACCAGTTAATGAATGTCTGTAATTTATTTGTAATTGCCTTAGTTGTTCTCCATGTTTCCACCCCATACAAAAGTACTGATTTGACATTAGAATTAAAAATTTAAAGTTTAGTGTTTCTTTTTATTTCTTTTGACCTCCACAAATTCCACAGGGCTATGAAAGCTTCTCTTGTCTTTTGTTTTCTTATTTTAATATCTCTATCAGTTCCCCCATCTTTACATTACTGCCCAAATAATTGTACGACCCAACGTCTTGGAGTGGGGTGTCATTAAGAGAAACCACACTACTATTTGCCTGATTTATTCTCATTTTCTGTGTCTTTCCTTTATGAGATTATTAAGTGCTGGCAAAGTGTGAACTGGATAATGCAGTGAAAGCAGTTCCTAAATCTGATGGCATCTACAGACTTATGATTTTAATGCTCGCATGTGGTTCAAACTTTTTGCCAGTTTGCCTTGATTTTTTTTTTTTTTTTTTTTTTGGTGTATTTCATATGAATGAAAATGGGCAAAAACTATTGGAATTCTGCACTAGAAGTGACCTGTGCATCACAAACACCTTTTTGAAAAAAAAAATTGAAAAAAAAACAAAAACACGTCACATGGTGTCATGGAGAGAAACATCAAAGATCTGGCTAGTGGCACCAGATGGATCTTAATCTCATAAGGAGGCAGCACTTGAAATATGTATCACTAACTCGCAGCTACCAGAGTGCTGAGTGCGATACTAGTTGCTACATGAGTTCGGATTAAACCGAAGAGAATTTTCGCTTCCAGAAGCAAATACATCCCCATCTTTATTAATACAGATGGTTGTTTAAAAAAAAAAAAAAGCCAAACATAAAAGCAACTTGAAAACCAGTTATTTTTTACACATACACTGTCACTCTATTTTTCAACATAATTTCCACCAACATTGATGCATTTGTCCCATCGTTTTATAAGTCCTTCCAAACGTGCTGTAAAGAATTGCGTGCTCTGTTTTCTAAATCACATTTCCACTTCACATTCAACTTTCTCGTTTTTAAAGATGTTTTAACGGTTTTTTTTATTGGAAATTAAAAATAAGCGCCATTTTCAACAAGCAGACTAACAAACATAGTACTCTTCCCAAAAATATTTCGACAGCCCTGACCGTAACCTGAACCAAATCATATTTTACGACATTGAATACAGCCAGC